CAGAAGAGGTGGAAGCCGAGTCATAGAGTGCTGATGACTCGGGTCTATCATATCCGATCTTACCTACTGTGAGACAGTTTGTTGGAAATATCTGTTTTTCAATATAGATGTTGTAAGTATATGATCTGATCTGGTCACTGTACTATACTGAGAGGATGATTGGATAGCAGGATACGTCTATTTTGTTTGATATAAAGTATAGCGTAGACTGTAAGCATACAAGTGTTATGTTTCAGTTACTGTCAGCCTGCATTATGACAATCGGAATTATAGAACCGATAGATTCGCAGTCTGTCAGCTTCATTTCCAGGTACTTTACTACTGTGTGGCATCCATGGATGGTATGCTTATAATTTGTCTACTTGATACCTGGGGTGCTAAGGCAATAAAGACGTACTCAAACAAACAAATCAGCCTATTCATATCGCATCTTATACACCCGACGCTCTTGTAATGCTTGGCTATTTTTGAGGTGTGTAGGAGATGTTAATTCGGAGATTACTCCACTACTCTTCTCCGCAAGGAAGTAAGTATCTTTCTTTACAATCTGTACTGTATTCTATGCGGGGTTTTGAAGATGCCGTTCGGCTTTTGTAACAGTACCTTTCGCCGAAAATATTTCTCCTTGGAAAACAATTGTTTCGATATCACCGCTTTGGTTGTAGGGGATCTTTTCGTTGGCCTACTCTTGAAGTATGTTCGGTGTGGTCAACGTCGTGATCAATTGAATTGTGATGAGACGAGAACCTGCTAATATTTTCGCTCAAGCTACAAGTAGGTGGTTAGGGTAGGCTGTCACGATAATTCCCTTTTTCTTCGTGCTAATGGTTCAAGTGAGAGCTTTCACGATTTTCTTTTCTCCTCACACAAGTGCTTGATGTTGTATATGTCTATCTATTTTTCTGTCAAAACTTATCAAAGAAGGAATTTCCGCACAAAATGACAACCCAGAGTGTCAATCAATCAAGAACACATTGCATTGGTCTATCCTTCTATTGTTGCTCAAAGTATATCGAAGCATCATATTCCCTGATCAAGCCAACATCATTTCTTTTACGCCTATCTGATAGTATCAAAAACTAGACATTGGTTTACGATCACAGTTCATTCAGTTGTTCACTACAATCCAATATAAGTCCTCCCTAAGCGTTGATTCTTCCAGGATGCCCGCTTCGGGTCTACAAGTAAGTCCATTGTTCTTGGGCAAGATAGGATTAATAGTCGAGAATAATTCAGCAATCAAATAGCTCTTCTCTTGGAACTACAGTCTGAACTATTGGGTACACATCCGTCTGTATGATGATTACACGAATGTCACATGTCGCATGTTGCTGTTTGGTGAGCTTCCGAGTATAACTTTGACACGAACATCTTTTCATTGGTTGTTTGACTCTCAGGGAAGCAAGTCAGAGTTGCTTATTTCATATTTTCATGGCCGCAAATCAATCTCTCATCACATTTTCCTCCTCGAATGCAAAAGTTTAATGAGATCGTATTTTCCAAATCACGGTAAGCTGTTGCCTCAACACCAGCTACATTACATAATGTTCAGCCGCGAAATTCAACGCTCAGCTTGTTCCTCTTTAATTCGGCTGATAATATCTTAGAATTCAGAATACACGTGCAATCATGAATGTTCATGAATTCTCAGATCACGTAATTGATAGATTAGCTGAGAGATAAAATTACAACCCCCGGAAATGGATCCTGACCTACCTAGCATCAGCTGTGACCTAGGTTATGAATTTTGTATCTAGATCGCTGTATGTCTTGATGAATTTAAAAATGGCTTTTCTCTCTAGTTCGTCAATTGCTGTAAGCTATGTTTGTTCAACTCCCCCTTCTGATTATTGCTGAGATAGGGAGACGTCCGGAAATACGTAGGAAAGATGATAAATCGCTTCACAGATCTACTATACATAATCACCCGGAGATGCTTCAGCTGTTGGTAGATCATAACGCTTCTATGACGCATAGTGTTATTGGATAGTCGTCGTGGATTTTGGCGATCGAACATAACAGCCGCGCTGCAAATTCATCCTCGACAATCTGTGTCGTGATACTTGAGGGTTTCGGAAAACGAAAAAATATGCTTGATGCGCTTTTACCTTGTGTTGAATGGATTCACTGTCCTTCTGAATACTAGCTTAGCAATAGCCATCAAGAGATATTTCTCTTGACTTCATTAGTCATTACAACGCAAGCCTCCATATACTTACGATACTTTGTATAACTAGGAATGGAGATCGCGATGTCAGTGTTCTATTATGGACAGTGTAGGCAATAGTATACTATAGTGATACTGTGGCGCGTATTAGCGTATTGATATTACAACTAGTACATTTAGAAAGGAGGTCGTACCACTCTCGTACGTATTTATATATCTAAGAAATACTAGCAATATACCGAAATACTGGAATCCAATATAAACTATACATTCCTATCCAAATTAGACTAGAAATAAGAAATTTCATTTCAATCTGAAATAAGGAATAGAATTCTATATTATTTAATATAGATAGGAATATATATTTTATATTGAATTCCAATATTTCAGTATATTACTAATAATATCGAATAATTAAATAATATTGAATATCTTCATTAATATCAAATTCAATATCATATATATTCATATTTCAAAAAAAATCGATACGCACTATTAAACTAACCCGTATACAAAATACGGGAAATACTATTACCTACACTGATTATGGAAGTGGGTGCTGATGTTGATATCACGGGATAAAGGAAAATAGGGGTTACATCTACACATCGTCGGTTCTTGCAATCGGTTGTGCGGAGATGCAGAGTGCGAGATTGGGGTTAGAAAAGGCTGCGAAGAAGGATATTGTAAATGAGGAGGGTGTAATTACATGAATGATGGTGGTGAAACATTGGGTATGAGTTGTTGGCTGGGGATGTGCTGATAAGAGGCGTGGAAGTGAATGTGAAGGTTGGGGAGAATGGGGATACCTTTTAGGGATGGAGATGAGGGAGAGATATGCAAAGGTTGTGGAAGCGTTATTAGAGAAAGTGGTGGATTTGGACGGAGGAAATAGTTTCGGAGAGAGATGGCTTTGGATATTGCGCAGGAGAAAGTTGTGGATTAGTATCATTACGTGTGATAAAACTGCTTGGGCATAGATACTAGCACGCAAAATGTTGAAAGCTCTTTAAATAGACTACAAATCAACTGCTCGGGGAGAGGGTAAAGGACACAAAGAACTCAGGTAAGAATACTCTCCTGCAACCCCCAGCTAAAAATTCATAATAGCCATTTTTCCAGGCTCAGGATTCTGCACAATAGCCTTGATCCCCTCATTCCATTGTTCAATCGAGAATTCACCCACGATTTCCATGCCACCCGATTTTCCAAGTTTCAACAATCCGCTTTCAACAAGTTTTATAAGTCCTTTGACGTCCTCCCTCTCATACATATACTGTCCCCGAATCGTCAGGTTCTTCATGACCGCCATCATATATGGAATATCAATATCATTAGTCGGCACTCCCATCAATGACGCTCTCCCGTAATCTTTCAATGACATCAAACAAGCTCTGATATGACTTGAGCCATTTGCTTCCTGGGGTGATAAATCCAAGTATGCGTCGAACGGGCCCAAAGCTTCGATTCTCGCAAGATCTTCCTCATAATTGCCAATGGTCTGTACGATCTCAACGCGTTGATTTGCCAGGGCAATTTTCTGCAATTTTGATAAGTTCCTACTGACAGCAATGACACGTGCACCCATCGCTGATGCTACTTCCACAGCAGCGCTACTAAACGACCCGGTAGCAGGTGCCACAATGACCGTTTCTCCGGCTTTGAGATCGATTCCTCGAAATCCTGCATAAGCTACCATATACCGAGCAAGAATTGAAAGGTCTCCCAGAGAATAGCTAAGACCTCCTTCTGCTGGACTTCCCAAGAGACGTTTCTCATTCAACGCATAGACATTCTCCAGCGGTGTCTTCACATACTCAGCTAACGAGCCATCACGCCAAACCTCGATGAGCTTTTTCGCTTTGGGATCTTGTCCAAATACACCAACACCCCATAGAATCTTAACATCCGAGTTATCTCGTCCTCGAACAAAAGGCTCGATAGTCACAAGTTGGCCGATAGATAAAGTGGTGGTGTCTGGACCGATGGCTGCGACGCGACCAACGGCACGACCGCCGGGAATGAATGGTGTGGGTGTATACAGGTAAGGCATTTTTCCATCAAGGAGCTCTTGAATGCTAGGCTCAATGCTTACAGCGAGAACTTTGACTATGAGACTCCCAGGGCCGGGTTGAGGTGTGGGAACGGTCTTGACTATGAGAGGTTGACCTTGGGCTTCAGCATAGAGTGCTCGCATGGTAGCTGGAAGGGGAATATCTGTTGAAGACATGATAGGTTTATGTGAGAGATCCGAGATCAAATGAATTAGAGTATACTTTTTGTTTATTGCCCTAAGGAACCTGAACGGATGTTTATATATTGTCTTTTTATCGACAAAACTCACTTTCCCTTCCACATTGTCGCGACACATAATCTCGATAACTCCGCACAAAAGCCATCGGAATTACATGCTTAAGATCACTTAACTCCATTATTGGCATTGATCAAGAATATTTACATCATCTCAAGCTATACTTCTTGAATCCCCAAAGTTGACGTGAAGACGTATGTATGTGTGTAATCCTCGAAGATACAAATCAGGATTAGTTTGAAGATTGACCGCTAATGAAGCATAACCTAGGCGATATATGGACTAGCGAGTGAGTGAATACGATGTGTGGTTAGCGTGGGCACCAGAAGTGGGGCGGAATGAGGGGTGTGTATCAATCTCCATCATTCTGAAGCTTATTATTCCTCTTCATCAACTCGCTTATGTTTCCTTCCGTCGTATATTTTGATTTCTTCTGCTTGTTAATACGAGTGTATACACATCAACAGACACAATGAGACTGTGATACGATTGCTCGAAATACTTACTCAAACAGCCAATATCATGCCTGTCAAGACGCAAGCCGATGTTAAGGAAGACAACCAGCGAAAGCGGAGAGTCCATAAAAAGTCGCGAAAGGGCTGTCGGAATTGCAAGCTGCGGAGAGTTAAGGTGAGATATTCCCATGGGTCTTGGCTTGGTACGTTGGACTGATAACGTAATATTCCCTAGTGTGACGAGACAAGACCGCATTGCTTAAAGTGCAAAGATTATGGATATGCATGTAATTATGACTCCAAAACACCAGATCTGGAATTGATCTATTCCGAAACTCCTACAATTGCGAAATCGCGGGTTGAACTTGGACAGTCATCATGGTCTATCAGTTCTCCACCATCTCAACAGATGACCAGCATCCCTACCACCTTAGAACCATTCTGCGTTCTCGGCGATGACATCTCGTCCTTTGAGCTTGATAGACAGAGCCTCGATCGACTAGATCGCTTTCGTTACCGAACTGTTCTCACCCTTGGAACGCCAACTGCCGCAGGAGTATTCCATGAATTTGCCATCTTAATGGCCTGTGATCATCCCTTCCTAATGCACGCTCTCCAAACCCTCACTGCCTGCCACGATCGATATCTTACCCTCCAACACGCAGCATCGTCGCGGCGCACATCAACAGAAGCCTATCACCTCTCCCGCGCCGCTTCACTCTTCAACCAAAAACTCTGCGCCCCAATCGCAAACAACGACAAAGATGCTTTGTGGGCCACCGCAGCACTTCTCGGAATCGTAGCCGTATCATCCATCGAAGCTTCTTCACCCTACGAAGCATGGCCCCTCACCTCATCAGCCGATACCGATCTCGACTGGCTACGCATGAGCGAATCAAAGAGCGTTATTTTCGAGCTCACAAACCCCACGCGCAAAGATAGTATCTTCCATGTGGTCTCCGTCGATTACAATAACGCGCACTACAAACGCGATGGGAACCTTGATCTCTCATCCCTTCCGACCCATTTCGTCGAACTTTTCGATTTAGACGAGCATTCGACCGTTGTCAATAATCCCTACTATCTAACCCTCATATCTCTTCAGCGTATCATCAACATCGAATGTAATCGATCAGCCATGTTATCTTTCCTCGGTTTCCTAACCAGTATGTCTCCCAAATACAAAATTCTTCTGAAAATGAAGGATCCAAAAGCTTTACTCCTACTCTCATATTGGTATGCGAAAGTTTGGAGGATAGTCTGGTGGGTAGAACGCAGAGCGATTCTAGAATGTCAAGCTATCTGTATCTATCTGGATAGATATCATAGCGATGATTTGCTGATTCAAGAATTGTTGTTGTTCCCAAAGCGAGAGTGTGGTTTACTTGTTTAGTGGAAGTTACGGATGAGACAGACAGCAATAGAAGTGAGTAGTGAAGACGGAGTCCAAACGATCTGGCTTCACATTTGCTTTCAATCTTGTCGTAGATATCATGATTGATCGAATTCAAATAACCAAGAAATTCTCAGAGAACTTTCTGAGTCATAGTGACTGTGTACTAGGCAAGAACTGAATTGCAAGGCGCGATAGTAAGGGGGGCTAGAATTGATCAGGTCATGTTTCGAATCAAGCATTCAATGAAATTGCTTCATGAAAATTTTTCATTTCCTTGATTCCAAGCCATTGCATTCCTGAATCCAACCTCGAGCTTCGCGAAAGTTACACGCTACGCATCTGAAATTGTCTTAGGGGGGAAAGAAGGAATGTTGAACAAACGAGGTGGCTTTTGTGACGAATTTCAAATTGCAACCTTGCTTCAAAGTCCCAAAATTTATGGATAGATTTCACTCAATCAGAGCGCATCATTAAATTATATCTAGCTCTAAAATTATGCAAAAAATTCCCTACGAACGGATTTCTAGACCACTCAGGCAAACAAAGTGCCATCAAAATCCTTCCCGCTTGTAACATTAGTTAAGGTATAATTTCCAAAGCAAACGTATTCATAATTTGCCATCGCCGTCGCATTACTCTGACTCTCCAAAAATTTACTCATGTCACACATTCCATCTGATCTGCCTTTGCACGCACCACCTCGAATGGTATCCAATGGAAGTATACCATTATTGAGTCTCATTCTAATAAACTTGTTCGTGGCATTTGCGGGATCGTATCCATATTGAGTCGGTGTGTATTGAACCTTTGAAGACTTTTCGGCCTTTGGGTTAGCTGAACTACATCCAATGGTTTCGGTGATGAGACGAGCGCCGAATGGGGTGATTTGTGAGAGAATAAACTTTCTCTTTGGGTTGGGTGGGTACTGCGTTAGGCTAGGAGCGTCCCGGAAGTAATCCATACTCATTGCTGTTAAAGCAGAAACGATGATATCGTCGTGGGAAAAATCGGCGTAAAACTTTTGGTCCAATGGGAAGGTAGTTGGGTTGTCGTCGAGGGTGGAATTTATGGATGAGTTGGAAGAGGTGATATATTGGTGTTGAAGACGGGCAAGGAGCTCTTGGACATATCCGAGTCCTTGAGCGCGTCCAGTTGGATTTCCATACGAATAATCGTACCAATCTGATGGAATTGTTAGTATGAGAACCATGAAAATTACTAGAGCCGTAAACTTACATATCATATCTAAAGTATTCTCAAACCCAGCCCACTCGTCTTCGGTGAACAACCCACAAAAGTCGCTCATACCAATATACGCATGCTCGTATGCGCAGATGCTTTGCATAGCATATGTATCATTGTATGTCAATTCAAAACCAGAAGGTGTGTATTTCTGTAATCTTTTGGTCGCGCTACCCAAGTATTTAGGAAGATAAGTGTAAAGATCCAGATCTCCAATGTTCCAAATACCGTCAACATAATCGTTGAAACAACTATCATATGATGCCAAGGTATTATTCTCGGTTCCTCCTTCAGGAATAATTACCACATCAAATCCGGCAGTCACATTTTCGAAAGTAGGATCTGGGATGGTAGCATAACTTGGGCCAAAGAATCCTAATGCCCAATTAATTTGACTGTTCTCGATTCTCGATTGTGAGGTCGTGCGCAAGGTAATCTTAGGACGTGCAGTGCCGTTAGGATATAGAGGGTCGTAGGCAAGTTGCCCAACGGATGCATTGTATAAAGTGCGGCCGTATCGATTCCAGAAAGAAACACCAGAAGTGAATTCTGTAATTGCGCCCATTCCAGTCAGAAGACCATTGTCGACCATTGCGTACTCATAAGTGTTGAGGAAAGCAAGAGGGCCAGTGAACGTCGCGTTAGTGGAGGTTGAGGTGAAGTTTGTAACCTTCCCAGCGAATCGCTCATCATTCACGCCATCATCTACTGAAGTTGTCTGAAAACGCTGTGCATGTCTTTGAAGGGTTTGTACCGATTCCTTGACTGAGATTAGTTGGTTACTCAGGACCAGGGGAAAAGCAACGTACAACTTGGCAACCTTCTGGAAGTCCGACATGATCTACACCGAAATAATCTTCTTCATTGTCAGAATAGGGAGTCATTTCTCCCCAGTACTTTTGGATTCGATTGATATCAGTAAGAAGCTGGGCGGCAGTAGCCGACGCCAGCAAGGCATTAGTGGCAACCAATGTAGAAACATACATTGTGAGATGTAATCAAAGTAAAAAAGAGTGAGAATAATTGAAGATCTAACAAGAATCTTATCGCTTTGGTTTGAGTCTTGAGATTATATATGATTCTTACCATTGGAGAGGTTTCTAAGTTTGGAAATCTGAAGGGTCGATCGTCGTTTCCTCACCAGGCTGGTTCTATCGGAGCAGCGATATGAGCACTTACTCTGCTGTACCTCCGGACTTCCTAAATCGAATAAAATACCCACGTTGCAAGTAGTGGCATCTGGTTTCCACTATTCCCCTGCATGTCGAAGCATAGCTACTTTATCAGATCACTTTATGTCAGGAACAACCTCGTCGTCTCTCAACAATCCAAACATTGTCCAGCCATCTTTAATAAGGACGACGTGGGTAAAGACTAGCCTTGCATGATGGCCAATCCACATCGTGAAGTTCGGGATAGCTATAGCTTAATAAATGGGCTTCTTTGCACTTTTCAAGCATTTCATTTGTTGCAAGTCGGTATATACTCGGGAACTAACCAGTTTCGACCCATCCATGGTGATTTGTATGGAGTAACAAGTCAAGCTTTTCTGGGATGTAGCTCGGGGTAGCCCCCCGCCATCGGCCAAAATAGAGAGTTTATTTGATAACCTCGTAATAAAAATAAAATTGTTCGAATTCTTATCTCTTCTTACCATACAATGTCGATAGAGACTGTTGGTAATGTAATATGCACAAGTGAGAAAGTAATTAAAATTTAATTGCAAGCCGGTCCAGAAATTACGATTGTACACACGTTCCATGCAATCGTGAAGATAGCCTCACTTCCAATCTCCTCCATAATCCGCCTCTCCTGCACCTCTCTCCTCTGAGTGACATAAAAATCTCAAATTTAATAAGGAATAGCGAAAACAACAAGCCATAAAATAGGGCTCCTATCAATCTACAACGACAGAAAAGAGATCGCGGAAGTATCAATCGTATTAAAAAGAAAAGAATAGAGCCTCCAGCATTAAGAGTAAAAGGTGGGAATGAATGGACCTCTCCGAGGACGACATCGAGGGTAGAATTGAAGAATTCTCGCCAGTAGAGTTGTCAATTTTGCCTTCATGCAGCCGGCTCTTGTGGATGTGCGACATTACCACCCACTGTCACAATTAAAGAAGCAGGCGCTGAATCATTTACTGCACCGCATTGATTGATACCTCCATCAGGTGTCACATCATCGTACGGAAAGCAGTAACCGAGGCCATCAACGTTTGCAGCATGGACGATTCTCGCATAATGATTCGTGATGGGATTTTCGTAATATGTCGACACCACTTCTTTATCTGGCTGGGAAGAATTGACAAGAAGTGTCGATCGATTGAATGCTGCATCAAGTCTTGCGCCAATATTCAAGAGTTGATCAGTATTGGTAGGCTGGGCTGCAAAGGCCCCGGTCGCGCCACCAAAAATGTCTGCAGATGAGGGCTTGATAAAGGAGCCGACGCTATCAAAGGTGAGGGAAGTGAGGTCGGATGTTGATCCGGAAACATCTCCCCACGATGCTTGAGTATTGACAGTTAGAGAAGCGCTAGCATATTTATCCCACACATCATTGATGTAGCTGGTCCAATATCCTTCGAACAGTACCGGATTGAATACAATGCCTGCTGTTGGATTAAGGGCTCTCAGATTCGTACCGTCATTCTCCACAACGAGCTTGCTCCAACCGGCCCCGTCAATCGCATCTTGTGCTACTAGACCCTTGCAAACTGTTGCTAGTCCATCTGATGGCAAACCTCCAACGTGTTTCACTGCACCGCTTGTACTTTTCAGTGTCAAAGCGACAGGCAGGCACACAAAATCGACATAAGTGATATTTGCAAATAGCTCGGAGCTGTTGTATGTAAACTCACAAAAATCCCAATTTTTCAAGTAGTTTGGATCGGAGGTATTGTTGACGGAGGGCTCAACCAATGCAGGCCCTGTGAGCCCAACATCGAGCAGAAATATTAAAGTATCTTCGATGCAGAACCAAATCCGACCGCCTGCAATATTCGGAATAGTGACCTTCGTAGTAGACCCTGGTTCTCCAAGTGGAATGGCACAGTCTTCTGTCAAGGCAGATCCGTTAGACGATGGGTTTGTAGGGTAGTACAAGGTCGATCCATCAGCTTGCAGGAGCACCACAGAATTGTTGTTATTAATGGCAAGGCCAGTGATGTATGCGTAGACGGTGCTCGAAGAACTTTGATTGACAAGTTCTATGGTAAGTGTGCTGTCAGTAGCTTCAGTCTCGACTGTTCCGATTTCGGGTGGGCACAAAACGTTCTCCTTCTTCTGCCTTGCGATCGCGTCCGAGATAGTAGTCATTGCTGCAAATTTTAGGTGGATGTGAAACTGTTGTCTGCTCTGAAGGTTGTTGTCTGTATTGGTATACTATCAAACCCTTCTCGTACCAAAGGGGTGCTTATTATAATGTAAGAAACAGTGTGGTTATCGATGACATTGATTAACACTGTGGCTGAAGTTCGTGAGGCATGACTATGTTTGTCTTGTGAGGTCGTATGTATATTCCAACAATCATTCCAACAATCCGGGTCAAAAAAGAAAATGATAGTGGCAGGTAAAGCCTTCTAGACTGGGTTCGAGACACTAAGCATATAATCTCAGATTATAGCAGGGGCGGGCACTCGAAAAAGTACGACGGCGAAGCCATGATCTCAACGACGACGTGAAGCTTTAGAGCTTAGCTCGCCGGACCTTTCTCCACATTCATCAGATCTAGAGACAAAGATCATCCCCTCGAGGTCGTATTGAACTATCAAACTAGATGAGGGGACTTTTCATCTGCAAACTTACTATATCTGGTACGAACACCAGCATCTGGGTATAAGCGAGGCTGGTTGTTGCACGAGATTCACAACTGTCGCATGCTCTTTTGTCTGATAATCATATAACTAATGACCGTAGCACGACAATGCTATGACAGATTTATGACAGCATTCTTTCAATGACTACCAACAAGCAGCTATGATAAGATAGAAGATTGTCTTGACTTTGATGACGACACCAAATTTGGGGTAAATTCACTTAGTTCTTAAATCAGTCTCCTGACCTAATCACCAGTACCTAGTGTGTGTTCCGCTAGACTGGAGCAATGATTATGCATGTGCCAACCCGAGAGCTTTCCCCGGAAACGATAAGCTCCTGTGAGTGAAGATAGCATCGTATTCAAGGTTGGGTTTCGTAGTAATACAATTGAACTTGTGTGTATCTATCTATCTATCTGTATGAGTGAAAATGGGAGGATCTAACACGAATAAAATAAAAACAATTATGAACAACTAATTATGAATAAAGAGCATTCAATTGATCAGGTATGTATTGCATTTAACTTTTCGAGACGACTACTTAGGTACTGGTAGATGTTTGTAAATACACTTCGAGAATGTTCCTGGATCTATCTAGCCGATCAGGTACAGCCTCTCTTAATTTTGCAGCGACTGAGTCCACGTGAAATCCACACCGCTAATCAAACATGATGCGCTAACCCAAGAACAGCGATATACTGGCAGAATTCAAGGCTGAAGTCATTACTGTCCTTCGAATCCAATGTTCATACAATTATTTGACCCAACAGGCTTGAATTGAAAGCTTTTTGTTGTTTGTACGATTTCCAATCCGAATCTCTCCAGGACATCTCTATCGTTCTCGACCTCAAGCATCTCTACATTTCTTGTACTATATTACACAAGAGACGCAATATCCTTTCACGCTACCTTGATCCTTCCACGCTTCGTAAATAGCTATTCGTTAATTGCTGTCTTCGCTCACTTCATTGACTGAATTCTGAGTGTTATATGCTGTGGCTATCCTTTTACGACCCAAATTAAAGTTGTCGCTCGGTACCTATCGAAATAATACCAGATAAGTGGAGGAAAGTACAGCGTCAGCATAAAATCGAAACACGATCGACTTGGAGAGATTGTAACACCTGCAGCCCGCGTCTAAAACCTGTTTTTCAAGTGCGCCATCTGGGAACAATCGCCGTAGAGTATATTTGAGCAACGGGTCCAAGTGAGCGGGCATTGGCGCGAAATTTTGTCCAAGGGGCTCAACGTTGGAATTCTTTTCGTGGATTCACAATCTGCGAGTATCATATGAGACTGATACTATCTTTTCGGAAACTTTACTTCACTTTCGATCCTTGAACATGTCCATGTCGAGTGCTAGAACATCATTGTCTTCTCAGGAGCTTACCGGCGAAGGTATATCTGTAATGCGAAGGAAGTTCATGCTATCATTTGCTGACAATGACTTACAGCAAAATTGACGGACGTTACGAAAATTGTACAAAGCCTCAAAGCAGATTTAGAGAAAATTAGCCTTCTGCCGCATCGTGAGTATGAATTGATTTCGCGAAGTCTAAGATATACTTATTCCTCTTCACAGAACGAGATGCGCTCCTGGAGCAGTTAAAGGTTTATGGTCGTGACCCTACCAATGCAGACCCGATCTTTACTAAAGAGGTAGGTCACACATATCGAAACGCAAGACATTCCTAATTTTGCAATAGGGAATCGAGACTCTTTCAAAGCATGCTTTCAATAGCCCTTCCAAAACTACTTCTCGAAATGCGCTTCGATGCCTCGCAAACGCCCTTCTCTTGAAGCCAGATACACGGCAGATATTGGTTAGCTTGGGTTATGATGAGAGAGCTTGCGGTCTACTCAAAGATAGAGTTGCATCTGTTGACGACGAATTTTTGTTGTCTAGAATTATCTTTCTTACAACTTACGGTACCACAATAAACATTGAGAATCTCATTGATCAGTGTCATCTGGCAGACACCATCTCACACAATATTGCCAATCATGATAAGCTTCACGGTGCGAAGCAGAAGAAAGTCAAGCAATCGGATCCGATGGAAGATATGGCTCTTGCTGAATCGCTTAAGCTTCTTTTCAACATTACACATTTTTGTCCCCAACGAAACTCCAGTTTTTCCCAAGCACTTCCTCATATTTTATCCATTCTTCATAAAATAGAGACGATTCCGAGCGCACCTCTAGATCCTCCTATCGCGCAACTTGTCAACACTCTTATAAACATACCTCTTGAAGACCCGGGGAATGTCAGTGTGTTGTTTCCTAAGGGAAGCCCGAACTTAAATGTCGAAAAATTCCTTGAACTCCTCGACCATTCCATCAACCAGTACAAAGACGAAGAACTTGAGCAGCTTGTCTCACCACTACTCACCCTCATTCGTAAGGCATACGAGATAGGTCCCTCGGATGTTCACCAATTCATGCAAACCCGATTGCTTCCAAGTGATAAAGACCGTGAGCAACCTGTAGGCAGAGGAGAGTCATTATCTGCACGCTTGATTCAACTATCTACAAGCCCCATGGCGCCTCAAGTCCGGGAATCGATATCTGCATTGCTGTTTGAGCTGTCCGACAAGGACGCTAGCACGTTTGTTCAGAACCTCGGTTACGGATTTGCCTCTGGCTTCTTGTTCCAGCACAATGTCCCTATTCCAGAAAATGCTTTTGAAGCATGGAGTACAGAGAATGATAAGGGCAATGGTAAGACAAGGCCCAGTCAAGATAGTGGGAAAGCAGTCAATCCTATTACAGGGCAACTCCTCGAAGCAGAGGAGAAGATTGATCTTCCAGAGATGAGCCAGGAAGAGAAAGAGAGGGAGGCTGAAAGATTATTTGTATTGTTTGAGCGGTATTGAGTATCCTCCGAGTTACGAAATTACGCAAGCTAACACACTATTAGATTGAAGAAAAATGGAATAATCACTGCGGCAAACCCTATGGAGGAAGCGTTGCACCAAGGAAGGTTTGAAGAATTGGAGGATGATGCAGATTCCGATTGAGGAAAAAATGGTAAACTTTAATAAGAGATGAAGCTAGGGGCTTGCCGGCAACTCTTACTTCACATGTAAACCAATCCCTTTGATGAATGATGTGAAAAGTCTTCCAAAGTCGAAGTTTTCTTTCTTTTTGCCCTCGAAGAGATTTATTCATTTTGTACTTGGTTATGCAGCTTTACTGCGAAATATCACAACTAATATGCAGAAACGATGGCGGCTATTGAGTCCGACCAATCAGGTTCGGAGTTGGTGAATCTGGTCTTCACTATCCATCATCAGATGGATTCACTCTGCAGTGTAACTCCACCCAATATAGGGTATCCCATAGTCCGGACTACAGTCCAACAATTGAAAATATCGAAACATTTAATTTCTTCGAGATAGTTCCAGATATTGGATTTTTAAAAAATTCATTTGATTTGAAATGGTAAACTGATGAAATCAACAAAAGCTTCTCCAAAATTTTCAAACTCGAATCCCAAATAGGAGTGCAGTCTAGATAATGGGCAAACCTGACCCAACACACGAACGGTAGCGCCACTTCAATCACACAACATGGCATAAGTAGCGTTCTGGACACTCGTGTTTGCAGACAGAAAAGCGCTTCCGAAATTTGCCTCTCCTGTCGCGATAGACTTGAAAATATTATTTTGCCTAGATCGAACGTTATCAACAACTACACAGATATTTTCTTTTACTCCAGAGAGAAAAGCAAGAGCCATGTCTTCATTCTGGGAAGCTCAAGCAACAAAAAGGGCTTCTTTAATCCTAGAGAAAATCCCTCGTGAATGGAGACTCTCATCAGATGAAATTGCATATGCAAGAGTCCAGCAAAATATTACATCGTCCTTCATTTGCAGGTATCTAAATCGATTCGAACAAGAATTCTTGAGTCATGATCCGATATCAATACTAAGAAAGCTTAGAAGTGGAGATTGGACTGCTGTTCAATGTATCATGGCTTCTTGCAAAATTGCATGCATAGCCCACCAAATTGTATGTTTCATTCTCTATTATCGATAATGGATAATGGATATAAAGCTCACTAAGATAGAACCCTTGCTTACTTAACACAATGATACCTGAAGCAGTGGAAAAGGCTAGAAAGTTGGATGAATCTTCTCAAAATGAGGGGGGATCCGTCAAAGGGCCTCTTCATGGTCTTCCGATCAGCGTCAAAGATCAATTCCATGTAAAGGGATCGGATACCACCATGGGCTATGTTGGATGGATCGGTACTTTTGAAGGAGATAGTGATAGCAATAGGGTGGGCTTAGTAAACAGTCAGATAATCTCTGAATTAGAGGAACAGGGTGCGGTAGTCTTCTGTAAAGTCTGTATCTCCCATCATATCTTGGTTTGAATATTTACTGACAATTAGGAAGACCAGCTTGCCACAAACCGTTCTCGTAAGCTTCAGTGTCTAGTTGAGTGAAAATGGCAAGCTAATGTATGTCCAGTATGACGAAACTATCAATAATATCATAGGCGAGACACTCAATCCAGTCAATCGACTTCTTTCATGCGGTGGTTCTTCTGGGGGTATGAGGATCCAAATTATTTCCCAGTGTGAATTCGGTTGATCTGATGATATACTCTAGGTGAAGCAGCGCTCATCTCGATGGGCGGAAGCTCATTAGGTATAGGCACGGATATTGGTACCTACTCCGTTCTACATACTGTTGGTTCAATAATTGACTTCAGTATAGCCGGTTCTATTCGTGTACCAGCTGCATTCTGCGGTATTTACGGCATCAAGCCTACTCATAATAGATTCTCTTACCGAGAGGTTGCCAATACTGTACTTCAAACACACTATTTCCTCCTAATTATTTGCCATCGTACTAACTAGATATCCGCAGAATCATGGGCAAACACTAATCCCCTCCTCAGTTGGTTTCCTTTCACGTTCCCTCGAAGGCCTAGAACTAGTGATGAGTAGCCTTTTGTGCACATTACCCTGGCTTCACGATCCAGCCGTTGTTTCAATACCCTGGCGTAAAGACAATCAACCTGAAGCCGGGAAACGGCTCAGATTTGGCATTTTCTGGTGGGATGGAATGATTCATCCTCATCCACCTGTTACCCGGGCATTGAAAATGGTTGTAAGTGCTTTGGAAAATGCAGGACACGAGGTATGTTTATCTAATCATGATATATGGTTGGAAGGCAGCAGGCTAATATTATATTCAGGTCATAGATTGGTGTCCGCCATCTCATAGTATACCCGAGCGACTTCACGTAAGTTTTCTTTTTGTTCAAGTACACACTTGGTAACTAATGGAAACCTATCTTTCAGCCGGCGATAATGAATTCAGATGGATCCCATCATATTCAGAAACAACTGGCGTTATCCGGAGAACCATTGATTAATGAGTTACAAAAATTTTACACATTAAAACCACCAATGTCTCTTCTCGAATATCAAGATCGAGCGCTACAACTCCGAGATTACAGACAAGCTTACTCGGATTATTGGAATAGTACAGCAGATGCAGATGGGAATGTGGTGGATGCACTCTTAATGCCCGCAGCCCCCCATGCAGCTGTCATACCTGGAAAATGGGAACATCTCGGTATGTGCTCCATCTACGTAGTAGCACTTGTTATAGGATTATAATGCTGATGAATATAGCTTACACGGAAGTTCTCAATCTCTTGGATTATACGGCGTTGGTTATTCCAATCACTCATGCGGATAAGGATATTGATGAACATCATGTTTATGTAGCGGTTAGTGAAAAGGATTTGAGGAATTGGACGGCGTATGATAAGGTGGTCTATGATGGTGCGCCGGTTGGGATACAGATCGTAGGCAGAGTATGCGAGGAGGAAAAGATTATTGGGGTGGCGAAGATTGTCGAGGAGGCTTTGCGGAGATGAAGAGGAATTTTGAGATAGGCAATGGTTATTGCAAATATGTTATTGTGGGTTCCAATCGATGATATTACTTATCTGATCTCATGAGAAGAGATTCTATCAAGTTTGAAGGTATTTGTAATGGTTGATGCTGCAGTCTGAACATTATTGTACCAGATATTCAGAAGTCTTGAAGAAGTTCAACTTATTATTCTTTCTATATGGATATTCAACTTTCTCTTGACGAACATCAACAAGCAACGGCTTTCAAGTCACCAGATCTTTTTGGATATCGAAGGATTCTCGTCCTATCTTCATGAATCAAAAAAGCGCAAACATTCACACTCCCTCGGACAATCAACTATAAATCCTACTTTCTAAAAAAAATCAAGACTTCATAACACCAAATCGTTTCCAATATTCAGCTGTCTCTGTCCTCCAACTGATGATTGAGGTTGAGTAAGACTACTCACTCTACTACCCATCTCCATCGCAGCCTTTTCTTTCCACTCTTGATAGATCTTCTTTTCCAAGATTTCACCATCCAAATTTTCAAACACATCATGATGACAATCATGCCATATACTCAGCTGTTCCCAAAAGCCAGTATTAGGTTGCACTCGCGATCTCTTCTGGCGCACGAGAGCTAGAGCTTCTTCTCGATCCAAAGTTCTCTCTCGCATTACTGAATGCGAAGTTAAGTCAAATCAATATCATGACCCACAAAGTAAAAAGAAAGTAAATTCACCATATCCCAAAACGATTGTTCCAGATCTACTAATCCCGAGACCGCAATGAACCAACACACCACGATTTTCACAGCGTGATTTATCAATCATCTCGCATGTGTCTTTCATGATATGTAGAATATCTTCTAGCGCATCATCTTGTACTCGAAAATCATGGTGAAAGAAGCCAAGTTCGAGATAGCGGGTACGAAGCCACTGAGGAAGAGGTTGATCGTTTACAGATATGATTGCATGTATATTTTTGCTTTGGAGATTGGAAATATTGTATGTAGATAGTAGACTGAGGGCATTAGTAAGATGAACAAAATGGAGAGAGTAGAAGATTGATTCACTCTCCGATCCATAGATTAGGCAGAATTTCGTCCATGTTCAAGTTTGGGTTGTGAGTACCGGGATTGTTGAGTAATTGGATCATTGTGATGAAAGGAGTTCGATTTCTCCAAGGCATGGGAAGAATGTCTGGGGATATATATATGACAGATAGATAGTGTAGTATTGAGAAACTTTCCTCCAGGCTTTCATGTTGTGTAATTCTGCAGCCTTGTATGCATTCGCCATGTAACTACTTGCACCTAAGATTTGCTAGGCTTCCATCGAATTCTGTCTACCTATCTACTTGATAGTACATGTGACATATGAAAATGTTGAAATGTTATTCAAGGAATCTAATACTCTGAACTATAGTCCGATAATCCATAGCTTTGAATTCTTAAATAGAATTAGAATATTCAAAGTATTTCATATTCTAAATTACAATTCAACAATCCGTAACTTTGGATTCCTAAATAGAGCTCGAATATCCAAAGTATTAAGAAGATTGAATGTATTTCAGAGGTTGAATCCTTCTTGTTTATTCAACCTTTTTAAGAGAACAAATAAATTTCAGAAATTGAACAAACTACTTTCAATTATTCAAATTGTTTGAGAGAATGAATAGATCATAGATATTGAATACAGTTCGAAGATTCAATTGTATGTAGTTGTTTGAATTGTCTGAACAGATGAATGGACTTTAAAGATTAGATTGTTTTAAATTGTTAAGAAGGTCTTAAATCTTGAAAGCTCTAACATTATCATCACAATAATTAATTGTGTGGAGGTCTAGATAATTCGAGTAGGATTATTTTGATGATGTGAATACGGTCCCTAGTTTCGTTGTTTCAGGAGCCAAAATGAAACCTCGCAAAAAATGATAATATTAATACAAAAAGTGCTGCAACCGACATCAAATACGCAATCCTTCTATGGTGTAATGGTTAGCACGTCGGATTTTGATTCCGGAGATATTGGTTCGATTCCTATTAGAAGGTTCTTATAAGAACATTCTTTCATTCCATACTCAGTTTAAATCTGAGATTAAAGGACTGCGACTTTTTTGGATTTTTTCGCTTGGCCTGTCTCTTTTTGGTTGAAAAATATTCCTTGTCCATTCCTAGATCGGATGCCAACCGAGAACCCCCACATAATGGGTCATAAATATGGGCCATAAATATGGGTCATCATTACGAGGTTAACCAAGCTCCTATTATTAATCATGTACACGTGATGCTCTATCAACCAATTCAGCTCCTGCTTACCATGAATCAAGTGAAGGCCGTGTTCCAATTTACTTATCTTCAATACTGTCTGTATATATCTTCTGTATCCCGTTGTACAAATTACCCTGGACTCCTACTACCAATCTAAGGTTATTTATTGTTTGATAAGTCCTAAGCTCTTTAGATACCATCTACTTGTTTGTTTTTTCGTGTCCCGTTATACAAATACCCTCATGCAGGATCCACCCCGAAAACGGATTCGAGCCCGAAATGCATGCGATAGTTGCCGTAAGAGGAAGCGGAAATGTGATGGTTGTTCACCATGTTCAGAGTGTGTAGGTTATGAGTACGACTGTAGCTTTTCTCCCAATATAACGCCGGTCAGCTCTATGAAGAAAGCAAAGCTATCTCATGAGCCAACTTTCCAAGGATCCCAATCTCAGAACATCTCCAGTACAGTTGCATCGAGTACTGAATCCTCTGATCTCACTCAAAGGGGAGGGAAGCATTCAAATCTTGCTCTTGTAACCAATGGAATCACAGAACAAACTCCAGCGATATTGTTTCACCAGGAAGACATTAAACAAGGCACTGCTAGTAATGAAACCACAAATGATTTATCAATTCTGGAGCCATACAAGTGCAGATTTACCAGCGCAAACAGTGCCATCGCATTCCCGAGATGTCTAGGAATGGAACTGGAGATGGCCACACCTCCACGGTTGCATAGCTATGCATGGAATGCCGGGATCCGGTCAGAAGCACCCAAGCCGAATTATATGCGTTTACATGAATTTTGTTCTTGGGGATTTGCATCTTCAGCAATCGATGTTTATTTTGAACACATCAATCCCGTTTTTGGATTTTTAGAAAAGGAAAAGTTTCGACACAAATGTGAGCTCTTTTGGAAAGATGACACGGGAAGTATTGGATTCGAGGCACTTATCTGTGGGGTTGTAACTTTGGGTGCATTGTTCACGAGACAGATTGTATCTGTGCTTGAAAGTGATGTCTTCGAGCATGGCCGATGCTTGCTGGAGCAAGGATCTCAGAGGCATGGCGATATGTCTCTTGAACATGTGATGGCATGGACACTACGGGCTCTTTACCTTCGATCCACGAGTCGTCCTAACTTGTCCTCTTTAGCAATATTTACGACCGTTCATTTGGCTGAATCAATTGGCCTTCACCGAGAATTGGATACTGTTGTTTTCGCCGTTGACGGATCCAGAAAGGTTTTCTCACCAGATGTATTAGAATTGCGGCGGAGGGTCTTTTGGATCGTGATGTCCCTGAACCAATTATTCGCTGCCGAATACGGCCGTTCAAAGGTTTGCTTGGATAACGTTAGATGCCGAAAGCCTATCCCTAAAAATGGAGACTCAATCGGCGACTTGATTGCAATGGCGGAACGACTATCTGCTTGCACCATTTCAGACGTTGACCCTGATGCCCTGCGAATAGCAATTGAACATTTGTGTATCTTGCCTTGTAATCATCCAGGACTGACCATGATCAAGGCAGATGTTGTTTTGTGTCTCTCTCGAAAACTACATCTAACTCATTCAAAATTCAGTTCTTCCGTCTTAAACACTATAATGGTAGTTCTTCGCAGTGCCTTTGCGGAGTCTCGAAATCTATCAGACAAGCGAGTTCCTTGGTGGAACGTGGTCAGCGTTCCATTCAACACGGTTTGTCTACTCTTGTCGATAAACACGCGTCAGAGCATAGCCTTTTTGCCTCAAGCCATGGACACTCTAGAATTCGCTAGCAAATCATGGGATACCCATCTGTCGAGAGAGGCTTTACATACTGCGCAAATGTTGGTCAATCGATTCATAGATATGAAGCGTGAAGATCAGATGGTTCTGGAATCCCTCCATCGTGTTGTTGATCACCCTAGTGTATCTTCCAGTACACAGAATTGGACAGGAACCATTGGAGGTGACCTGTTCGGAGGCTTAAATGGACAGGATTTTGGGTGGGCACAATTCTTCGGTGATGTTGTTGGTTAATTTGGAAGTCATTCCAAGAGAATTTCCATATTCATCTCTGGCGGAGACAAATACTAGCCTCGGGATGATCTATCTGCACGTCACCACTGCTCCAAGGGGGTAATCAGCCTCAAGACCAAAATGAAGCAGGCGCAGGGGCGTTTTGATCTATTTGAGAAGGAACAACCACACAACTGGATGACATGCGACTACTCATCGAGTAACTTACTAGCGAATATTGTTTTTTGTTCTCTTTTGGGTCATGCATCGGAGCTAAACCGGAAATGTAATTGTTGTTAAAAGTCGGCTTTTGAGAATTAACCTTGAGTTTCTTCGCGGGAACTCACGTAATTATTCAAACTCTTTGAGAGGCCATGGGGTACACCACAGCAACAACTCACAGCGTCTTATATATATACTTTAGGGTGTTATTGGTAGAATTGGGTAATTAACAGGATATCATACAATTAATGGTTCCTCATCAGATGTTTTTGCTCATCTCCACTTCCTTCATTATGAATTATCAAAGTCTTCCGCAATATTCACTCCATCCACCCATCCAATGATACTTCAAGCGAGAATATAGATGTACTCGGGTACCTGTAGCATCTAAAATGTCAAGAACCTACATAAGGATCACGATAAAATTGACGGGCCAACTTCATTTCCAGGTCTACATGAGTTATAATGGCATTGCAAGATCACAAGATCGAGAAGCTCGATGATACGAAAGCAAGTGTTGGCTCCAACCCACAACCAAGTGAGCCTATAACTCCCATCATCTCTCCCGAAGGAGGTCTCGCAGGCTGGCTATGCGTTATCGGTTGCTCAATGTGCATGTTTTCCATCTTTGGGTTTCTCAACGCGTATGTCCTATTCACATCCCAAGCATATGTTCCTGAGTATACCGCTCATAGCAAGCATACCGAATTGGAGTGTTTCAGACGTACTACCAACTCCACGAACTCAGTCAATATACCCCATCTACCATTTCCTGGATCTTCGCTCTCCAGTTATGTCTCATGTGGCTTCTGTCTCCGTTGTTTGGCCGTCTCTTGGATACTTATGGTCTTACTCCAGTCTTGATACCGTGCAGCGTTCTTTGTGTTTTCTCTTTGTGTCTTCTCTTTGTGTATGACTTCATTGTGTCATAAATACTATCAAATTATTCTGGCTCAAGGTGTTTGGGTTCGGGTTTGGGGCATGCGGTATCTTTGTAGCTGCATTTTTGTGTGCAGGACAATGGTTTGAAAAGAGGAGGGATTTAGCTCTCGGAATTGTTACTGCTGGAAGTAGTTTGGGTACAAATTTGATTACTACGTTTGCGGTTCTTTCTCTCTGACTTTGGTGTTGGGGGGAGTGATATTTCCAATCTTCGTCAACAAACTCATAGATGAAGTTGGCTTTTATAGCACTGTCCGCTATGTCGCTCTTCTCATTGGCATCCTACAAGTTTGTGCTTGCTTTCTTGTTAGGGCGCGCATGCCCCAAAAGAAATAGAATAAAAAATTAACATGGGTTGATTTCACCCTCTTCAAGAACCCGAAGTTTGCGTTATACACTGCTGGTGCTTTTCTCGTTATGTGTGTGCTTTTTCGTCCCTCTGATCATTGTTGATTCTTCCATAATAGACCCGCAAAATAGGTGGGGACTCTGGGTATCATTCGATCTCTCTCTATTTATCTAATCTCCTTGATCAAGTAAGACTCCACTCCCTTCTTGATGTCTAATATTCTGACCTCCTAGCGCCGGTTCCATACCACGCCGTATTCTCCCTGGCCACCTCGCCGACAATATCGGATACTTCAACACAATGACCATCGTCTGTATACTGACAGGCTTATCAATCATCACCCTCTGGATTCCCTTCAAATACCATTCCTCTCACGTTGGCCTGATTTTCTTCGCTGTAGTTTATGGCTTTCTATCTGGTGCCTTCATCTCTCTAATGATGCCTTCTTGTGCAAAGTCTGGTACGATTCAAACGTTGGGTCAAAGATTCGGCACATTTCAATGTATAATTGCGATTGGTTGTTTCACGGGATTGCCTGTTAGCGGGGTGATATTGAATGGAGGATGGGGTGGAGATGGGTATTTAAGACCACAGATTTTTAGTGCGGTGGCTATGACGGGTGGGGGTGTGGTGATTGGGGTAGCGACGATGGGAATGGCGGAATGGGAATTGGGGAAAAGGGTTTGGAGTCTGCGTTATTTCTAGGGAGTTGGTAGAAATGTTGCTTTGGTATGAATTTTTAGAGGCATGTTATTTGAGCGTGGGAGGAAACCAAGTATAAATGTATTTGTCTATGAAAATGGCATAAAGTTGGGCATGATGAATTGGTAAAGTCTTTCTCTCTTTCGATACTCGCCTAATGTTCTGGACGATATGAAATCATTGACAGCATGTCTTTGAAATCATCATTGACATGCGACTTCTGTCAATTAATGAACACATGAGCACCTTTGAGTCGCATGAAGCACGGCAGAATTCCTCCCATGCACAAAGCCATTACTTCTCACTCTTCACTCCCTGGCTGGCAAAAAATGCAAGAATTCGGACAACGATTCAAACTGAGTTAGAAGTCTCGTTGAGCAATCACTACTATGTAAGATACTCAAGAACTTGGCTTTATGGAACGTGGGCCATGTATATATTTGAATCACGCATCAAGAAGGTGTTCGACGAAGTTTATCTTGAAAGATGGAATCGTTCCTGCCTCTGGGAGCACAACATTTGTAATCAGCCGCCCGCTCGAATCAAGAGGACCATGGGATGGCTTTCAGGAAAATCGTCTACTAAGAGGATGAACCGCACTTAGAAATCCTACAGTATGGGTGTTTCTTGAGCAACTTCCAGTGCCGTAATTGAGCAGTGAGGGCAGAGACAGTTGAGATGAAGAGCCATTCCCGAAACAGAGTCAGAGATTTTGTGAAAAGAAATATTCAGAGAAGTGTAGCTAAAAGTAGAGGAAGAAGGAATAGATTGCATTAGGACTAAGTCAAAATTTGGAATGTGGTTCCAAGACCTGTGCTCCTCTTTCTAAAGTCAACACCGTACTGAGACAATGAGAGATGTAAAGTCCACTTGGTCTTGAAAGTAGTAGAGCTGAGATAACTTCCTGATAGGTTGGACCCTAAAAGCACAAAAGACTTGTGTGGGTTGATAGGTTACGAGATCTGGCTATCCCGATATAATTCCAGATATACATTGCATTTTCAACTTGAATGTCTGACGAATTTAACAACAAATGCTTTTGTAAGAACGCTTCATTTTTTCATCCCTCTTTCCTCTATTGGGCAGTACCTACATGAATGTAGTTTCCTACCAAGTAATTCTCATCTGCTCGTGTTATGTTATGAATTACTATTGAATTTGTAAGATTGAAGGATTTGTGAAAGGTGGTCTTTTGCAACCTCAATTTTAGCGTTGTCGGCTCAGTACTGTTCCCACTAAATTTCCACTTGACAGCCTCGTCGTGTCTCAACATAAAAAAAAATATTGACCAAAACCTCACCAAGTAAAAACATTCGAAAGTTCTTGCACTGCACTCTTCCATTTTTGTAAAGCAAAGCGAAATACCCTCACCATGGATCAACTGCGTACCGCTCTCCAACCTATAACCCATAACCTCCCCGCGCCTATCAAAGATTTGGGAGTATCTCTCATCGGCGAAAAATGTTACAAAACACTCCTCCTTGATATCGATCCAACACACACAGAATGTCTCAAACTCGGTATCTCTAAGGGTCTTGGAGTAGGAATCATCGCAGCCTCTTCGATTGTCAAGATTCCTCAACTTCTCAAACTTTTCTCTTCCAAATCGTCCGATGGAATATCCTTCCTCTCCTACCTTCTCGAAACATCCGCCTACCTCATTTCCCTCGCCTACAACTATCGATCAGAATTTCCTTTCAGCACATATGGCGAGACTGCTCTTATCATGGTGCAGAATGTAGTTATTGCAGTCTTAGTTTTGAACTACAGTGGAAGAGCTAGCACCGCCGCTCTCTTCGTGGCAGGATTGGCCGCAAGTGCCGTTACGCTGTTCAGCGGAAACATGCTAGATATGCAACAATTGGCATACCTACAAGCTGGAGCTGGTGTTTTGGGAGTAGCAAGTAAATTGCCGCAGATCTTGACTGTTTGGCAAGAGGGAGGAACAGGACAATTGAGCGCTTTCGCTGTAAGTTTCTATTTGTCTCTTTATCTACATACAAACAACAAAATACTAACTTCTAATCTCTAGGTCTTCAACTATCTCGCTGGATCTCTTTCCAGAATCTTTACCACCCTCCAGGAAGTAGACGACAAGCTTATCCTCTACGGATTTATCGCTGGTTTTGCACTCAACGCAATTCTAGCTCTCCAAATGGTATACTACTGGAACTCGCCCAGCAAGACCAAGAGCAAGAAGAGCAAGAGCAAGAAGTCATCAAGTGGAAAGCAAAAGGTTCCTGTTGCAGCCTCTCCTGCTGCAACTACCACTCAATCTCAAAAGAGCACAGCCAAGAGTCCTAGCACACGTAGACGTGGTTAGATCCGTGTCTGGAATCATTTGATTTTTCAATATTTTACTGTTTTCGACTCCTGCATGGTGCAGTTGCAGTCTTTATGATCTATTGTGCGGATGAGTAGATAATAGAATCTAATCTAATTATCCCAATATTGTCATCTAAGTTTTGCACAATTTGTGAATTTGTCAAAGCTAATGCTATGTATACCTCCGTTAGTTTTTTTCCATGCTAAGATTATCTATTGTTACCAAATCATTATACGGAAACCCCTCTTCCGCATAGCTAAAACGATCTTCTTGGCGAGATCAAGATAGATCCGGACCTTTTCTTCCCCAATCCGACCCAATCCATGCTTTGAAACTTTTGTATCCCTTCAATCGTCTCCATTTTCGAAATGAATTGTATTCCAGAACAGATTTCGTTGGCTCCAACCCTCATTCTTCTTTCCTTCTCTCCAATTCAAAATCCCCGCTCCACATCTAATCACAAGGACAATCCTGAGCTTATGTTTCGCTCCACACTAATCATAAATACTCTATTGTCTATCGTCATTTCCTGTTATCCATGGCTTTTCTCGTGCTTCGATCCCCCATTTAACCCAAGCTTCAATCTAATTCTGGTAACTGGTCACCTGGTTTTTTACAAGATATTAGTGGGAAAAGGTAGCGCGAAGGCAAGGAAGGGGTGGTAGGAGATATGTATAGAATATATAGGCTCTAGGGTATAGATTCGATGCCGGAAAGGAAGCAATGAAGCCGGGGGCAGAGCGGACAGGAGAGGTAGACGGAGGCTGTGATACTTTAGCGAGAGGTTTGGAACTGAGAGTTGATAGTGAGCATTTCACGGCTAGAAGTAATAAACTCTGGTACTGTAGCATCCATGTAATCATTTTCTTGAATCACCATTGACCTTGCTGCAAACACTCACACATTTATACGCACCAAGTATTGGAAGTAGGACCAGTTTGGGAGTTATATCGTAGGTTGATTGACCTTGAACTCTATAAAGAGTGCCATTCATACGAGTAGCTTGTAAAGATATGTCTGCACTTGCTTCTGCTGCAGCTTGGGGGAGCAATGTGGCCATCTTGATTTAGCACCGCCCCCAGCTAATGAACCTGTAATTCGATCTCCTAATATCGAATGATGATGCTGGTGACTACACCGACCAACTAGGTTTCGGAGGCATCCTGGTAACACTCATCCATTGGAGCGTGGAACTCTGCTTTCGTATGGCCGGTGAAAATGTACCACCAAAGGTACAGGCTCGAACCTCTCTATACTCGGCGATGCGCCAATACAGTCTGATTCGTTCTTCCCACATGGTGGTTTAGCTTCAAATAACCCCACTGGTAGCAAATCTCAATATTTCTTCTTTGGTCCTCACCCTTCCATCTTTCCTCGCAACTCCCTTCTCTGGTGCCTTTGCCTTTTTCTTCTCGAAACGTTTACCCATACCTCCCATAACCTCATCATCATCATCCTCATCCTCATCTTCATCGTCATCGTCGCTATCTTCTTCATCCTTAAGTCCTGTATTGACATTATCAACATCACCACTCGCCCTCTCCTCCCACGTATACTCATCGGTAGCCTCATTTAAAGCATATTCTCTGATCCTTGGCCCAATCCAATCTGACGCCCATTTCCAGGTTTCTTCAATATTTTCCCCGCCCCCCGCAACATCTATCTGTAAATTGCGACCCTCATCAACCCAAGTCTCTACTTGTGGTTCTAACTTTTTGCGCAGCAGTTGTAGGAGAAGTCCTTCTTGTGTGCGGCCGGGGAAATTGGTAGAGGGGAATGCAACGATTCGAGAAAGAAGTTCACTATTGCCAGCGAGATGATCGGTGACAGATTGGATATTTGTACTTAGAATGGATGAGGATGTCATTATAGAGGAGCTATTGTCAATCAATTAGTAAAAATGAATGCGCAATCCAGAATGCGACAAAGTTTGGGAAGGTACGAACTATTCAGGTAGAGGTGCGCCTCTCTGAAAATCAGCTTTCAGAGATGCGATATTAGCAGTCAAATGTAAGAGACGTTGACGAGTCTGCTCGAGAGCTTTGATATCTTCTTGCTGGAGTGCCATGATTGCGATTTTGGGTTGTTGTCGCAAGAGTGCTTGAAATGATTGTGATATTGATTTGGAGGTTCAGACTTTGGGGTTCGGTAGGCTAGACCGGGCTTTTAGCGCGGAAGAAAGCCGTGGGGTATGGTAGCAATTAGGGTGTCTCGAGGGTGCTACGGTTGGATGAACCACTAAAACACAGCATCAATTGTGTGAATTGTTCCAACTATACCTAAGAAGATCTCAATCGGATGATACAATGGAACTATGTTCTCTGGGTAATGGTAAATGTTTGCTTATATACCCAATCAATTTTTTGCCGACCAGGAACGATGAGGATGACTCAAAATGAGAGAGAATACGTAGTGTAGTATTCACTTGTTCTCACCCATTTTCCTCTCAGAGCGCACTTGGGAAGTACTTTCCTCTACAGATTTCGTCTCAGTCGTTTTAAATGCAATATTACAGTTCTACAGCTTCCTTCTTCATACCCTCAAGCTCTTTTACATACCGACCCTGGATAATAATCGGCCACATCTTTGTCTCTGCAACGGCAAGGTCCCGAGTCTCTCTGTTTTTTGCCAATCTTCGCTCTAGGAAGGCTAGAAGAAGCTGTGCAATCCAAAGCCACTTGGCAGTAGCATGTTTGTTTGCGTTAAAGGCCATCTTGGGGGACTTTTGAAATCGAGAACGAGCTCAAAGTTTAATGGGAAGGCTCGATTAACCTGATGCTGTCGATGGTCGTTAGTTTCAAGCACTGAATCCAATGAAGAAGCTGCGACGCAGTCATCTTGATTACCATCTTGATTGAGAAACCAATTTCAGGATGGGGGACCGGTGGACTGGTAAGACATATTTTTCAACCAAAGAAACCATTCATGGATGTTATGAACCTTGAGCGGATATCTCGAATCTCTAGCATTTGTTGAAGCAACGGAATCATGTTCTAGCATTGCATTTTCTTGAGCCGACGCAAATGGAGCCTTGTTTCTTGCTCTATTACTAATTCTATGCGATAAAGCTCCAATTGTGATACTAGTAAGGAGGGCCAACTCATCAATCATTACTGGGCATAATCTCCAGCATTGAGGCATCCATAATAGTCACTCTTTATGCCTTTGCAATCGGACTGGGACACCTAAATAGAGCTGTCACTTAGGTCTGAGTAGTTTAGTTCTACTAGACTCGATCTTTCATTTTCAATTCCCCGAAATGTCCTATATCGACTATCACAACCTTATTTTCAAATTGGAATGATTTTCAGCAAAGTGCTAGAAACGCCGCTCGCTTCTTTGTTCTGTATTATGAGTCCTGCTGTCTCTTCTCCATTCTTAGCATGACCACAGATCTCATCGCAAGTGCCTTCTGGTGAACAATGCCTGAGAGCTTTCGTCCTTATTGATTGTCAATGTAAATGTTTAGGATACTGATCTTATCCTGTAAAGGGACATCGTATCTGTTCGACAGGATATCAATAACAGTCACTGCCACTATTTGATACTTGTATATCTTCCTTATATTCCATATGCTTCTGCTTCATCGTATAATTGTTCTAGCTTTTCTTTTTTACTATTCTAGTAATTATTTCTTGCTAATGAACTTCCCTTCACAAATCATTGCTACTTTTGATAGCATCATGTTATGTCTGGTCATCAAGTTTAAAATCCTGACTATATGCGGGAATCAGAAAGTTTTACTTAAACACAAGTTACATCATTCAACTCATAGTAGTCAAAATGGGAACACTCAACTTGTACGATCAAGTCATAGTCGCATAATAGTTCGTTCTTTGATTTGACAACACCTTTGTGCGCGCTACTTCTCGTGATGTTTTTGATACTTTTTGAACTTAGATCCATAAGTATTTTTTATGGCTGTAGTAATCCCCACTTTGCTTCAAAATATCATTATCAACTGCTTATATTTCCCTCGTTTGATGTTCCAAAACAGCACTCTCCCCAAGGATGCTCCATTCTTCTTTGTCGATTTCATCACTTTGTGTTTCCTCGACACCTTCTTCACTTTCAAAACCCCATTTACTCCTCTTTATCAAGCCCCATAAAGTATCAAGGTCATGAGCGCTGCTGACACTAGAGTCTCCGGTTTGCGAGACGATGTTTTCAAGGTCTTCAACAACATCGCTGATGTCCGAACAAAGTGCTTGGTATTCATCATCTTTGCCTTCAAATCTATGATTATCTTCGAGTCGCAACTCTAGAGATTCAGATATGTGAGATAACCGATGATCCAGGTCTCCATTTTGACATTCTCCTTTAACCCATTCATTTGCCTTGGCCTGAATTTGAAACTCTTTGTCTGCTAGGTGATCCGTTGACATGCGCCATCGCTCTTGCTGTACTTCATACCACGGAATGATGCAGTTAGAAATACTTAGTATAGCCAGTTCAATGGCGAAAAGGAGAAGTTGTTTCGTCCAGAAGTCAAGGCCTTCAGATGTCGGATGATAGATAGAAATGCGTAGGAAGACCTCTGTCAAGTGTTGAGGAGTGGGGTAAAAGAATGAAGGTCCATACGGTAGGCCGAGAAGAGTGTTGAAAAGGTATCGAAAAAGATTGTCCCAAACACAATGCAGGTAAATTACGACATAGTTAATACTCGATAATTGAATCGCAATTATTGGGAGAATTTGATTGGAGAAGGCTCCGTGGTGGTTGATGATAAGTCGTTGGAAAATGTGGAGGAAATAAATAGATGAGAGGACGTATGTGTAGAAGATGAAATTTGAGACTCCCTCGGCGGTAATTTTTAAGATGGCACTGTCGCAATCAGGGAGGAGAATCTCGAAGAGGATTTGAGAAGTTGTTGGCTCTGTGCGAACGAACTCAAAGTTGTGTATGGACTGAGAATTTATTTTGACGGATATCATGCTATGGTTCAAAGTTCAGATCAATTTGATATTATTAATGGTGGTTCGAGGATAAGAAGGTCGCAAGTTACAGGTTGTCAACATCTTGGAGGTCGGGGGGCAGATTAGGACTGCTGAAAGAGGGGTTTGGCAGTGAATCTAAATTATATTGTACTAATATTCATCTTCTGACTTTTGGACCTCTTTTATACGACCGGCAAGTGTCGGCGCCAGATTCACTGCAAGTTGCGTCTCTACCGAGGATATGTTTCTGAGATTACTAAATAAAACAGCCTATACGAGTTGAGCCATTTCTCTCTCAACACCTCAATTGCATTCTGGAGTGATCAATATGGAGAATAACATTCACGGTAATGGTTCCTCTACATGGGAGACGTTTTGAAGTGAATTTTTATCTGACATATGGACGTTGATAGCCACACTGCGAAGTAACTAGCAACTTGCTGGTAGCAAGTGCTTAGATGTACTTCCAAACCTTGCTTATCGATCACTGCATGAGCATATCGGACGCATATCTGTAAAATTTCAATACAATTTTTTAGAAAATGCCATACTCAGCACGCCATACCCGTCCCTGGACAGTTCTAGAAGGGCTCCAATATCAGAGATTGAATATGGTTCGAGGAATTGTATCTGGGAATTTCCCATATTCACTAAGTATGTTTTCATTCCCAGATGAAAACTCGTGCTGAAGGGGTAGTTCATACCTCAACTGTGTGGCGTCATGAATATTCCCACGATGCGTGCTTCTTTGACAAACTGTGATATGTGGATGGATTATGTTTTGATTTCATGGCTATCTTGATTGGTTTTTAGCGAGTTCAAGTGCATTCTTCAACCAAAACACACGTTCTTCTCCTAGCTGTATCTTGGCAGTTATGCTACTACTAACGAAATCGACACTCCAATGAAGGAAAATCCCGAAATCCTCGGTACAGTGTCCAATGAATCATTATCTTGTGTTAATTCGCCATCAAGCACGAGATTTTTTAGACTGTTTTGATTCTACATTCCCATGTTTGATATTCCGCCCATGGCGGACATTCATTCCTAACAGCTTTGATCCTAAACAATGAGGCTCGAATCTGGATCACAACAGTGATGATTTTGAATATATAATCACGATGCAATTCCATCTTTTCTTCTTCTCGTACATCAGGAACCAACTTGTATACACTCTTTCTTCCAAACAATAAATAGTCTTCAAGACATACCACATTCACTTACTTGAAATTAAAGTTTTTCATCATGAAGAGCCAAACAATTCTTTCAATTCTTTTGGCTACGGCCCATCTCGCTGCTGCTCAAGGAGGACCAATTCGTGGACCTGGGGGCACTGATGTTGGAAACAACGGCCCTCCAGGCGGAAACAACGGCGCTCCAGCTGGAAACAATGGTGCTCCAGGTGGAAACAATGGTGCTCAAGGTGGTAAGTGTTTTTAATTGCGAGAAATTTATGATCCGACGTGCTAATAACAGCAGGATGGAACCCCCCACCACCATCAAAAGAGACTACAATCGCCGAAGCTTACGGATCATCAAACTCCGGAGCAAATCAACAATCAGTTTGCGAATGTTACCCAGATGATGGCACTAACGCGCCATCTTTGACTGCTGCTACCAGTCGTAAGGGATCCCTTTTTCTTCTGCTTTGAACCAAAACTGATATTGTGATAGAGGAACAAGGTGCCAACTCAGACAGTGGTACATCATTCACCCATATCGTTGACACTACTCCTCCTAAGAGACCATGGAAGCGACAACGTGGAGGAGAAGAGAGCGAGGAGGGAGGTCCCGAGGCACAGAACGCCGCAGGAGGATGGAAGCCAAAGCCAAAGCCCACCAAGCCAGAAGAATCCGCTGCATCAGCATCTGTTGATGCCACTCAAGTCGGTATCAATGCTGCTGGCGGTGCTGGATCTGCTGCAGGTCCATGGGGAGCGGTCTCCTATGCTGGCCCCGCAATTGGTGCCAACTATCAAGACATTGATGGAAACTGTGTTTGCCCACCAGGTCAATCTCCCCACAAGCCAAAGGGACCAACTGGAGGTGCTCCAGCAGAGGAAGGTGGCGCAACTGGCCCAGCAACTGGCGGTCCATCAACTGGAGGCCCATCAACTGGAGGCCCATCAACTGGAGGCCCATCAACTGGAGGCCCAGCAACTGGCGGTCCATCAGGAGGCGGACGCCCAGAAGGAAACGGCAATCAGAGCGGAAACGGAAACGGGAATGGAAACGGAAATGGCAACGTAAGAATATTCAATTTTGCTACCCAAGAATTCTCTTCGAATTAACACTCAACTTTCTGCAATTTACTGTGAAAAGCTTAACAAAACCGACTGATCATATCATAGGGCAACGGTAACCTCAATGGCAATGAGAATGAGAACGAAAACGAGAACGAGAATGAGAACGAGAACTTGAATGTAAGAAAGTCGCAGCTCTCTAACTTCCTTTCCGTCTTCAACACCCTATTTCACAAAAAGCTTATTGTTATACTGAAAAATCATTCGCAATAGGCCAACATCAACAAGAACGAGAATGTTAACATCAATGGCAACGCTAATGCCAACATCGTAAGTGCACTCAATTACTAAGATTCCATATCCTTGATCCCTCATGATAAACCGTTACTAAATTAAATAGAACAAGAACTTGGGACTCAACTTCGGAAGCAACAGCAATGGATGGGGATCATGGTTCGGAAGCAAGGCCGCTGCCGTCGCTGCCGACCCCGCCGCCTCCGGTACTCCAGTCGCCGCCAGCGATGCCTCCGGCATTGTCGGTGCCACTGATGAGTCGTTCGTCCCAGAAGTCTCCACCGGAGACGCTTCCGGTGTTGAGCAATTCACCGGTGCTGGATCCAGCATTGCTATCTCCGCATGGGGATTCCTTGCCGCCGTCTTCGCCATTGCCAACGTCTTGTAGATTGAGTATTAGTATACTCGACCAGTCTCTTCGTTTGTCTGCGGGACCATTGGGCTTTATTTTTATTTTTTATTCATCGCGGCTTGCATGCTTGGTTTGGGGGTTATTTCGATTCGACAGCAACACGTCTCTAAGATTGTGTTTGCATTATATTGGAGATGGGCAGATGAGGCATTTTTGTGATTTTTAATCTTAATTGAAAAGCAGTTATTGTTGAACCAATCTGATACCTGTGAATCTATGAGATGACTTTGTGATTCGTGATTCCAGTTACATTGCTTGACTTGTGGAAAGTTCACTGGTTTTCTACAACGATTCTCCCAGTTTCATCCCTTGAGTACTGCTCTTTCTGATAGGAAATGTAATCGTCACTTCTATGTTCCCATCATCGATTTTCTGTCTTGGATCAAGTCATGCATGGGATACCATCGTTGAGATAGAGCATTCTGTGTTTTCAACTCTAAAACTGGCAACTATGCCATCAATCTCGCTACCAATGCTAGCAAAACATTTCAATCAACTTTGATCGGCACTCCACTTCCTACTGTAGACTGAGAATTCATCAGAAACTCTCATTGACGACTATATTAAGTGGCAATAAATGAATCTATTCTATTATAACATTTTCTCTTTGGGTGACATGACCTTGTATAGTATTTTAGTTGCGTCGTAGCTTACACGATGGAGCTAGCTAATTCCTTAGACTACGCTTCCTGCCGAAATTCGATGTCTAAGTGATCTTACTTTATACCCTCCTTGTACTAACATATGATATGTGGCCAATTAAAATTGTCCCCGCCAGAGTTAGGTTTTGATCAGAAATTACGAGGACGCCGTTTGTGTGATGGGTCATTTATCCAGATTGGCTCGTGAAATCATCACCTTTAAGATTGACATAACGTTGGTCGTCTTGCATGTGAATTTCCTTATGAGTCCTGGGTATTCAACCGTGATTCGTCCTGATGCCAGCAACACTTACAATCGAATAGAAAAGTCGTTACTTGGTAGGCTCTCGCCATTGATTCCATGCTGGAAGTCGCTTTGCTTGTGTTTCATCAGAAAGAAAATTTCCACTGGTGGCAGAAACATCTGAAGCGAAGCCTCTCTTCTCGCCCATCCCAATACCACCAGTCCTATTACCGCTGGTGGAAGTCAAAGTGTCGGATGAAGAAGACTTTTGGAGTTCTGAAGTGGCTCGGTGTTTAGATATGATTGTAGCGATGTCGTTCTTGGCCTGCTGAATATTACCATCGGATGCATTTGCCATGCCAGGTAATGGCGTCTCGACATGCTCCTCTGACAAAATTTCTATCACATCTCCACCCAGCATTTCGATACGTAGCATTGACTCTTTTGCCGCCAAGGACCAAATGCGGAATTTGTGGGCAAAAACATCGCCAGTCTTTTCCACGACCAAACCATGGGGGCTACGATCTTTCACCACAGAAGTCTTGATGAGCCCATTTTGTATATCCGAGGAAATTTGATATTCTAAATGCTGTCTTCGTTGTGCATTCAAATGGAACACATGCTTTTGTCTTTTAGGGTCTAATAAAGCTTCGTCTAGTAATTTGCAATCTTTGCAGTTCGAGTTGCATCCTCGAATGTCGCGAGTCCATCCGACGGGTTTCACAGGTTTTTCTGCATGATGACGTATGAGATACGAGCTGACAATGGTCTGAAAAAATTGCTTGAATAATGGTGCTTTAAATGCGGTCGGGACAACTTTGCGTAAAGAATTAGCAAGAGCTTCGAGGAATGGCATAAATGTGTCATTAAAAGAAGCCCATTTCGCAGATTGAGCTTGGTCGCAAAGTCCTCTGAAGAGATGCTCGATCTCGAGGGACATCTCTTTCTGGTAAGCGCAACAAATAACGAGAGCTATACTTCGGTACTTCCGCTGTTGCCACGTTCTAGCTAGTCGGTATTTGGCATGGTAACCAGCTTCGTCTTCTGCTGATGGAATATCGTCCGGCCAGGCTCTGACATTCACTATCTCTAATCTACCAATATTAGTCGATAATATCTCTTTAAACACCAGATCAAGTGGCTGTGGTGTGCATTCGCTTGATAAAAGACTTCTTGAGATATGCGTCAAGATTGAGCACAGCATTTGTTGCTTATCCAGACAAGGTTTGATGGCTGGGAGGAAACTGACGTCAATTAGTGGAGTTCCTTGATAAAGAATCATGATGAACATACATTTCAATGATCTGTTTCTCAGAAAATACGCTTGCTACTTGAATCAATTGTGCCACATCGGATACACTCAGAGATGGCGCACATGCTGACAATGCTAATTCATATTGGTTGGAGGACCAATCAGTCTCCACTTGATATTGAGATAGATTTTCAATCGGTTTGCACCGGTTATCGAGAGTTGGGATCGTAGAAATATATGATTCAGCTCTGATACCACCATTAGCGAGTCAGTATTAGCACTTCTGGTTGAAACATACTTAGCCATTATCCATAAAGTCCCTCTTCCTCTCTCAATTTAGCTAGTAGCGGCTGATATTTAGGACCCGAGAAGCAAGTTGGTAACGCGCGTTCAAGAAGAATTTTATCCCAAGGTCTATTATTGAGCTGATTACCAACAGATATACCTTATGCGAGAAACCCGAAAGAACATTAGTCGGCCAATCTCTTTCGCTTTTCGCAAGTACTATCTCGCATACTTTTTTCATGTCCTCCCGGTCAGCGGCAGGGGATTCGGGAGTGATATCCCCCAAATCTGCTATATACTTGAGGACACATTCGTTTCCGTCGCTGTCCCATCTATCTAATCTGCCTAACATGAATTGAAATCGAGAAGCTCGAGGTATGAGGACTATCATCTTCGCGCTATCAGCCGTTCAACTGTCTGTAATTATTAGCAAGTGAACTTAGAGAAGCACGATAATATTTTATCACTTCTCCTTCCTCGTAGTCCTCTTCATCAGTGCTGGCCCCGTCGAAAGGATCATCATTAATGAGGCTTTCTTCATCAACAATAGCAACATCTGCACGCAGCGCTTCACCGTCGAGATTTACAAGCTTGGTGATGTGTAACGATTCCTCAATTTCCTCCATTTCATGTTCCTCGTCTGAATCATAGTTACAATAAACGTCATATCCAGTTGGGACAGTTGGACCACTGGCTTTTTTCTCTAATGTTGACAGGTAGAGCTCGAAACTACTTTCCGTGCAGACTTCCTTGAGCTGATTGAAAACAAGACGATCGTTTCCGCAAAGCTTTTGAGGGGACATATCAGATTGGTCTTCTTTTGAAAGCACATATCCCAATACATTTTTAGGGACTAACATGGCGTCTCTTGTCCAGGGTTCCAATATGCTTTTTAGATTAGATAATGAAGCCCCTAAGGCGGTAGCAGAACCTAAGATATGGTGCGTCAGAAGATGTTTGGACTCTTACTTTGATTATTTCTCTTGTTTTAGGAAGAGTATGATATTGAAGAGATAGGTTCAATGAGAGACTTGGAAAAGGACATCAAATGATTGGGTTCCACTCACTAGTCTCTCCTGGCAGGGTATGCTGAAGATCATATCTGAGAATGAGGCGGCGACCTGAAGTTAATGGCGAACTCTTCACCAATACATCTGTAAACTTTGGACCGGTTAGTTTGATTACTGGAAACGCAAGAAGGGCATCACAACCCATGAAAGAAAGGAGCAGTCCCATTCTGAGCATCCGTCGTTCTGAAATTGGACTCTTTTCCCATTGTGTTCAAGAATAAAGTTTTCGCTTCCTCTGGCAGATGGTAGAATGATGTCTAATATTGCAAAATTCTGCCTAGAAGGCATCCGAACTGAGCTACATATCTTGTTAAAACACAGTGAACTTGAGGTGATTTCACAACTTATTTGATCATCTCTGCGGTAGCTCCAGATGAGTGATACACGAGAGCACACAATTCTGCATGAGCGCTCTTATTCTCCAATCCCAACCCAATCTTCACTTTTTCCACTATCGATTGAATTGCTGATGTCCAAGCGGGGTTTCTCGTAGATATCTTGTTGCCAGGAATGGTATATACATGAGATGGAGTAGGCGTATTTTCAGAGAACTCGCCAGATTCTGAACCGCTTGCTGCCATTATTTTTTCAAAGTCATGCTCAGTGAGTGGGAATCCAATTGTACCATAGCCGTGAATAGAGACCCCTGGATTGAGTGCACTCGGTAAATTACCCTGGTGGAAGAATGAAGTACCAATACTCGAATAATCAAAATGTTCTCGCAGATTTGTTTTCAATTTCAAAAATGCATCTTCTTGGTATTCTCCCACTCTGTCATCATCAAGAACCACCACGCCCGGTTAGGTTTTCATCAAAGCTGCACTTAAGTTGCCGCGAGGTCTATCGACAGTAGGAAGTGAATCATTCTCCGTATCCGTTCCCGACGCAGAGGAATCATCACTGACCTCCCAGATTTCAGGATCCCCGGGCATTGTTGATCACGAGCTGAACTCTTTTACAGATATTGAGGATGAACAGTAACACTGTTATGACATTCGGAGTCTGGAAATTTATCACAATTGTTAGCAGAATATCGAACAAGACAATCTAGGCGACTTGCCTCCACTCAGGTGCATCAAGAGCGTTGAGCGATAATGGTAATGATAAACTATTTGTTTACAACTTGAATTGACTATTGTGGCCGACGTGATGTGAATGAACGTGACTTTGGCTCAGGTCGCGTACCCACGTGCTTGATGATATCATTAACGATACTCGGCGGGCTAGCCCAATGCAACTAGCGCCTCCGTCGTTAGTCTGCTGAATAAGTTGCTGACAATACCTTCATCAGCATCAAAAATCAATCCACAGCGACTAGCCCAATGACTATCAGTAAGTTAAAAATCAACAAAGAAATAAATCTCAAATCAATAAGTAATCATTTCCTCATCTTCATGTAAAGTATATCTTTTTTCATCTCTCATATTCCAGCAAACGTGCCAGAAGTCTATATATGAAGCTCTTCATTCTCTTGTCCTCTATTTTCATTGCATCAATTTCAATACTCTTCTACAACAGTAGTACTCCACTATCACAGATCTTTCAATTGTTCACGAACAACAGATCAGCGATCGATATACAAACAGCCTCGCTTACAACTCAATCTTCTATGAGCACATCATCTGCTATTAAGTCAACAATGTCTAAAGCACTTTCACACGCTAAAGTTACCCCTCGAAGATCCTCTGCTCGTGGTCATGCTGATCATGGATGGCTCAACTCGTACCATACATTTAGTTTCGCAAACTACTATGACAGCCAATTCCAAAACTTTGGGAGTTTGCGAGTTCTCAACGAAGATCGTGTCGCTGGTGGCACAGGATTCCCTACGCATCCTCATCGCGATGCCGAGATCTTCAGTTATATTCTGAGTGGAGAATTGACTCACAGAGATAGTATGATCAAGAAGGGAGCTGAGGGAAAAGAGGGAGATGACTTCTACAGAATGAAGAGAGGTGATGTTCAGTTCACAACTGGTGGAAGTGGTATGTTCACAACTTCCTTGGATGATTAGAATTTCTGCTAACTAGATACTCCGCAGGCATTGCTCATTCGGAACAAAATGAATCAAAGGAGGAAGTCCACTTCCTTCAAATCTGGGCCCTTCCCTGGGCTAGATCACTCACTCCGCGATACCATACAAAAACTTTCTCTGAAGATGCTAAGCGATCAGCGTTCTTGCCAATTCTCTCACCATTGAAAGCTGGTCCCGGTGCTTCTGCAGAAGAGGAAAAAGCTGCAGAACCAACACTCCCAGATACTATCCCTATACATGCCAATTTTTTCATGGCTGCTGGAATCATTGGAGTAGACAAAAGGTTCAAATGGACCGTTGGTGGAGGGGCAACAAAGAGTTCCGAGAACAGAAAAGTCTATATCCACGTTCCCATGACCAAGGGAGGCAACGCAAAAATTAGACTGGACGGTAGAGAAGGAGCTGTTCTTTCAGAGGGTGATGGAGCATTCGTCGAAGGTGTCAAGGCCGGAGATATTCTGGGCGTCGAAAGCATCGGCGAGGCCGAGGCGGAAGTTATTGTGTTGGACAGCGATTAGACGTTTTCTATTTGTAAATTCCGGCTTGTATATATTGATACCTATTTAGCATGCATTTCAAGATCTTACTTCTTTTGATTGCCTAAAGTGACAAGCTCTCAGTGAATTCAGTGACCTCAGCGTTACAGCACATATTCCAGAGTGCTCTGTTGGAAAAATCTCAGCCTCTCATATCCTCTACGATAATCGCAGGGTTTGAAAACTTCAGTTTTCTGTTGGTGACCAGAATTATTGTATGCTATGTAAAATATGTGCAGGGAAAATGGCATGTATTATCATTCTGCGAGAGATACTTAGGTTAGCTAGGAATGCTGGGCAAAGAACTGATGTGTACAACTACTTAGCAATCAACTGTCGGAGTTATAGAAACTTCATCATCAAAAATTGTTGTACAGTCTGATGTGAAAAATGATGCACTTTGTACCAGTATGTACACCTTTGACATAGCAATGAAAGTCCGAATTTTGGCAAAGGATCAATCCTTCAGACAAATTCAGCTGACTGCAAAGGCGAACTTTTGTCTCAACTTCCCCACACTTATAGTTTCGACTCGTTCTTGCCCCATACAGGCATATCCAATTCTGTTGTGCAAAGAATAAAAGTGTCCTTCAAACTCCCAACCCTATGTCTGTGATTTACTTCCTGATAATCTTCACTAGCCAACATATCTGCAAAATGTTCAATACTCGGATAATGTGCCACGGCAACTTCATCCCATTCACCTCTTTCTTTTGAGTCTCCCTCATGTATCACAGTTCCCACTATTTTGGCAATCCCACCTCGTTTTGAACCAATGGATTTTGCAAATTCGGCTCCATATTTCAAATATTCTTCTTTGAGCCCAGGTTTGAATGCTAGGAGATTGAACATAGAAACCGCACCTCGCCCTTCTTGGTTTCTATAAGTTTTGATCCATTCCATTAATGGAGGAGATAGCTCGAGGGATTGAGCTGAAGCTTTTTCGCGAAAGTTGTTCAAGCTTCCTGTTAGGGGCGGTGTGTCTTCAGGTCGTGGATCAAGCAGTCTTCTATTCTTCGACGCGAAATCATGGAGTAATCGTGAGGGTATTCCTGCTGTCACCTGCCATTGATGAAGGATAAGCTTTTGTAGTGAGGCTGGAAGAATGTCTGTATTGGGCAAGATCATCAGAATATCCCAATGGATATTACGTGCGATAAGTGGGTCGATCGAAATCGATGTCGGAAGAACGATCCAACGCATAACCCGCCCAATTGTGAGTGGGGTGAGAGAAGTCGTTGAAAGGGCTGAGAGGAAATCGGTAATGGTGACGGAGAGAGAAAGTAGATGAAGTGTGCAGGCTGGCATGTTTGCTGTGTTGTATGAGTAGATTGAATATAGTAGGTATGTGCCACTGATTTGTATTATGCACCTCGTATGGTATGTTTGAGGGGACGATGATACAATAAAGGGTATTGAAGACAATGAAGGGAGATATCGAAGTTACCTAGTAGTAGGATGAAAATGCGTCGCGGAACTCATCATAACAAGCCCAGTTCAACGGTGCGATGCCGATGCCCCTCACTTGATAAGGCCTAAAATTCAAAGAAACCGAGGCACAGACAGCCCCTTCATTTTCAGCTGTTCTTTTCCCAGCTGTTCTTTTCCCAGCCCTTCAAGCAATTCAATCAAGAATCAACATCAATCCATTGAGTCTGAAAGCTTAATGAATTCTCTTCTTAATTGCATACCGATATAGCTTCAAGCAAATTGAGATGATGGACAATCAATGGACCAAAGTAGTTGATGTCTGTGTGTAAAGTATATATACTAAGAAAGCATCTCATGATGAAAGCTACTAGGATCAGTATCGATGGAGCTAATCACGGTTATCACTAGGTCAACGAATAGGAAAAGTTCCCTTCATGTCAATAATAATCATGGCTGGTCTGGAACTCGTGTTTATCGTGTTTATCGTGTTTATCGCCAGAACGGGGCTGGAGACTGGGTCACACTAATGTTTTCATGAAGATGTTTTGTATCACTTACTGTTCAATAGAGACGAATATTACATCTGAACGACGGTAGATTTCAATTGAAACCTGACTGACAAGAGGGCTGGCGTAAGGAGAATCAGTGCTGAGCTGCACAGCTCTCCACTCTCAATTCGAAATTCTTACTGGCGACAGTAATGTGATTGACTTCGACAAGTAGAATAGCCTCCGTCAGCATTTCTATTTTTCAACCTTCATTCTCAGATTCATTTTCAGACTCAGATTCAGATTGAGATCCAGCATGAAACCCGATTTATCGCCTGTCCTTTGGACATTGATAAGTCTCACAACTATCGCAAATTCACAGTCCTTACCATATAATCCTACCACGATACTTCTTCCATCGAGCGCAAGCCAGAGGAACGACACTGCATTCATCTTTCTCGTTGCCTCCGAATCAGACACTCGACCTGAGTTTTTATCTCTGAACATATCTTCAACCTTATTCGCTTCGAATCTTACATTAGAACCCTTCACACCTAATCTTTCGTTTCTCGACAACAATACTGCTTTTATACCTACGATTGGGACGGACGGCGAGATTTCGTTGCTTACTGGTTCTTGTTCGGAATCTGCCAGCACTGAATTATGGACTTATACACCTGGAAACGAGGCGGTCGGGAATGGGACATGGGCGAAAGAGACAACTATTGTGGCCAGCGATGTCTCCTCTGCTGGTCGCGCCGGCGCGCATTTTTTGTCGGGTGGATTCCAATTTTCTACATTAGTCAATGCAAATGCTTCATATACGGATATCTATATCTATGGTGGCATGTGTCCCAGTTCCTCGGCGAATACATCGACATGGCAATCGGACGCCAACTATACGAACCATATGATGCGAATATCACCTGGATCGACAGATTCGTACAGTTTGGATTTAACTACTAATAGAGGAGCACCCGTTTCTGAGGCAGGATTTACCATTACTCCTTTGCTTCCCGCGTATTCGAATGCTTCGGGGATTATGACACAAACTCAGAATTTTATACTTCTCGGTGGACATACACAAGGCGCATTTATAAACATGAGCCAAGTCGCTATTTGGAGTCTACCCGAGGAGAGCTGGAGTTTTGTCACTGTCAACCCACCATCCTCAACAGAGAGTTCCAATACAGAACTAATAGTAAAACACTCAGTAACCAGTGTCGATAGTCGTTCAGGGCATACGGCAATTTTGACAGAAGATGGATCCAAAGTCATTGTTTTGGGCGGATGGGTTGGTAACGTTAACCAAGCTGCCGATCCACAATTTGCTATATTGGAACTTGGGACGGGCTATGGAGGAACTGGTAGATGGAAATGGTCGGTACCTGCGGATCAGCCATTCGGAGATGGTATCTATGGGCACGGTGCAACAATGCTTCCTGGAAACGTTATGATGGTACTAGGTGGATTTAATATAACAGCCGCCAAAAATATGAAGAGAGCTGTTGATACAACTGTTCAACCCGTGTTTTTCAATGCTACGAGTTCCACTTGGATTTCGAACTACACCAATCCAGCATATATCGCGGCTAGCGCGCGAAGCAGTTCTTCTTCGTCCTCGGGTTCCTCGAAAGTCGCCCTGGGCGTAGGACTCGGATTGGGTATCGCTGCATTCATCGCTATCGTTGCAGGACTTATTTGGTGTTTGATTCGCTGCAGGAGGAGGCGTAGAGATTCGAGATATGAGAGGAGGGAAAAAGACCTCCGGTCTCTTGGCTACAACGCAGCCACTGCATATCCAGGCACACAAGAAATGTATCAAAATCATTATTATGACTCGGGAAACGCCGCGGGAGGATATGAGAGCCTTTATGCTGGCGAATACGGCGCGGGAGATATTGGCTCTCCCACGCTTCAACCTCGGCAAATACCGAGGAAAGCTGTACGAAACAATCGAGGTCTTTACCAGCCTGCTTCGACCTTCGACCCTGGTTCAGTGGCTGGGAATGCTAGATCGGCCAATATTGGAGCAGCTGGACCTATACATCCAATATACGAAGCAGACGAGGATGCTGATATAATTTCCCCTATTGAAATTGGTATTGCTCTTCCATTCGAAGAAAGTGACGCTTACTTTGGTGCGAAGCGACCATCGGATCCATTTAAAGATCCAGTCACTCAAAATTATTCGGTACCTGTACAATCAAACAGTCAAAATGTCACCATGCCTGTCTCAGAATCCCCAGCGCAAGAACGAGAACGTGAGATCGAAGCATGGGTTGCAGACTGGGCGGCTGCAGATGCCCTCCTTCACGCTCAAGCCAGATCTCATTCAACTGTTGGGAGAAATTCTCCTTCTCGACGAGCAAACTTAATTACAGCGACTGGTCCAGCCTCTGTTTCAGGAGAACTTTCTGAAGATAACGCTCGAACAGCCAGTAACCTTAGCGAGCAAAGTATGGCCCCTACCGCTGCTACTTTAAGTCGGTCAGGATCCAGTTCCCTGGGAACAAGATCAAATTCACTTCGAGGCTATTTAACATACGCAATGAACACCATAAGTTTAGGAAATGCTACTCTGGGTCCGATGCCCGACAGCCCTGTCGCACAAAATGCTCAGATTTGTCCTCCGGGGAGTTCCGGCAGCGAAAATACCGGTTCAACTTACACCACCGCCCATACGCACTCTAGCTTTCCTACCCTTCAGGCAGAAGCAGCAACATTACTCCCTCGTCCAGAGCAATTCATCGACCGGGGACTTCCGTCTCCTACTGAATCTTCTTCCAAATCAATACCGCACACACCCACTAGGACAGCACATGATTATCTCGGCAGTCCATCAAAGAACAAGCATATAGGTCTTGGTAGACGTGGATGGCTGGGAAGTCTGCGTAAAGCTTTCAGACCTGAAGGTGATGCCGCGGCGGAATCTAATCTTGCAGATCAAGAGCCACTTCCTCTTCCAATTGGTGTCGATAACTCGCCAAGAAGAACGGTGAGCGCTGGTGCGGCTTTATGGAGGAGGAAACAGGGTAGAGGGGACTGGGAGGATAGTGAGAAGATCGGTACCAAGCGTGGAAGATCTAGTTCATTTGTTAATGGCGGGGGTCGGTCCAATGTACAAATTGGAAGGACTGGTGAAGCTCGCGGGCTTGTAAATGGGATTGCTGAAGATGATGACGAATGGGATATTGAAAGAGCAATCGAGGATCGGGTAGTGCAGGTTATGTTTACAGTACCTAAAGAGAAATTGCGCGTCGTCAATCATGATGTTCGTGAAGATTTGAGCGAAGGAGGGAGCATGAGAGGAAGAAATATGGGAGCGAGCGGAAGCGGAACTCTAAGTCGAACTCCTAGTGATATCTTGAGTATAGAAGAGGGCAATAAATTAGCTAAAACGGAAAGCGCCGAAAGCGGTAGGAGCAAGGGACGGGTGAAAGGCAAAGGAAAAGTGTCGGAGTTGGTGGAACTGCTCGAGGGTCGTAGTAGTCCTGAGCGTCAGTGAGTTTGTATTTGTATGCTGCGGGTATGATGTGTACGATTGATGTTTATATGCGATTTAGGGCATGATTATGACCCTCGTTTGAATTTTAGCGGCATTGGGTATGAGAGGTGGCTCGGTTCTGTCCACTTTTGGGCACTAGAAATGCGTTTCTCCTGGGATGATTTGTGCTTAAGTTGGAGACTACATACCCATTGGACAAGATTCTGCTTTTGAGGTGCATGATTGAGATTTTCCATCTGTCAGTCACTACTAATATATCGTTCATGTATGTAATTAAACCTATGACATTTGGAATTAAAATTTTGTATTTAGATTCGTTTTAGGTCTGTAAGTGTGATTGTGAGATATTACATTTTTGAAACAGTCCCAAGAAGGCTGAACTTTGAGAATCCAACAGTTTGAGGTGAATTGAGTAGTATCATCCAACTTCAAATTGAGTTCTAGTGGAACAATTTTTGATATCAGAAAATCTCCAGCTGCCTGCGGCTTCCGAGGCTCAACGGCAAGGTGCCATACAAGCTTTATCTGCAAGTAAAATGATTCACATGCGCTTCTCATAAAGTCTTAGAAATAAGCAACAGTGAATATGCATATGGAGATGAGCCTCTAAAGTCAAAGAGTTTGATATTGTCAACTTCTCATTCACTTCACGAGAATTCTTGGGAAAGGAAGAACTTGGAATATATAAAACACGCATGTAATTCCCTGTTCTCTACTGTGGAATATGATGTAACAATAGAAAGACGTAGTTGATTTCCAAATTCCGTACAAAAACCATACTAACCTGTAATTTGAGGCTTTTGATATCATGACGGTGAACCAGATTGGCAATATTCTACAATGAATTCCCATTCACCTTCTTGATAGGCCAATGTATGAGCCATAATCTCAATATCATTCACTTTCCACCTAGCGCCAAATTGTACCGCACCATCGCCAATTTCTTGTTTATAAGCCTCCAAAAGTTCCCTATCTGTCTCCCCTTTTTCTCACACAAACAACTTCAGAACTGAAAACGAAAAGTCAAATTTACAATACCATCACTTTCGTTTATCAACCACTACAAATAAACAACCTTCTTACTCAGATCACATCTCTCAAAAGTAGTCATTATGTCTATCATTCAGAAATCCATCATGTTCGCCCTCTTCTTTGTCGCACTTGTTCTCCCAGTCAGCGGCGCTGGTCAAGTCGTTCGTGGTGTTGCATGGGCCACTGAGTCAACCACTTGTAGTATGGCCTTTTACTATTCATGTTATAATCTTAAGGATCGAAATACTGACAACTTATTTTTTATAGCCACTGGCCCTGTCGAGACGCTCGTTCCCATCGTCCTTCCATCCTCTGCTCCCGCTTCCGAGACGACTGCTTACACATCCTCTGCTCCCGTCGAAACTCTCGTCCCAACCATTGTTCAAACTTCTCCATACCCTCCTTCGATTGCCGACACCACTGCTTACAGCTCATCTGCTCCTACCGACACCCTCGTTCCAGTCGTCATCACCTCGGTTCCAGTCACCAACACTCTTACCAGCACTCAAACAACCAGCTCCCTGGAAATACTCTCCCCAATCCCCAGCACTTCTGCTTCCGGTTACCCTTCAGTTTCCCCTAGCGTCGTAACTGGCACATACGCCAACTCCACCTCCGTTGTTCCATCCACAACTCTCACCAGCACCACTGCTTCCACCACCATCAAGACTTCGGCTACGAGCTCTGGACCAGCTAGCAGCACTAGCAGCACTGTTGTTCACACCGGTGGAGCCATGGAGGCCAACACCATTTCAGGTGGCTTGCTCGCTGCTGCCTTTGCAGCTGCTTATTTCATGTAAAGCAACAATGCTATGCCATGAGTTGCGGTTGGGGAGGATAGTTCACTTGCCTATATGGTGGAGGAATTAATACCATTCGGAACATTGGGAAGCAAGTTTCTTTTGTATTGCGTTGAGGGATGGCGTACATTGTGCGTCAATCAGGGAAGGGATGGTCTTATGAAAACAATGTGTATAATAAATAGAGTAGTTACAGATGGTATCCTTATGATACACATTTGTTTCTACATCTATCTCGCACATTAGTCCTCTGAAAATAAACAACTCTGTTTACTTAACATGATTTCATATCAATTGCATACGTGAAGTGAAGTTCATATGTGAAATCTATCTTACACTACTCCTATAAGGCCTACCACATACAGAGTCTCAAGTTCTTTTTCAACAGAACTTGATTGCTTTGAAGATCTCTTACGTTCTCCTGCGGCCATTCCTGCAACTACAACCATGTCAATCACACTTCAACTAATCTAGTATCTGCATATTCGCGGCAACGCCCTAAAAGGCCGGTGTTAAGTAACCATATCTTCAACCGCTGTCTACCCCACGTTGAACCCCTACACCAATAACAATTTCCCCATCCCATCCCATCCCATCCCATTCCCTCTCACCCATAACCACCCATCAATAGCAAACGCCAGCAATCTTCACAATCCCAAATTTTCCACACCTCCGCGCATCTCAGACCGCATCTCCGTCAGCGTAGGACGCGGACACTCTCGGTTCGTTCGTGCTCAGAAACCTCACACGCAACCCGGAGATGGCGCTCTATTTGTGATCTTCTCCGACGCGGCAGTTCTCGCCCTGCAAGTGCGGGGTGCGAGTTGAGAAGGACCTATTTGGGTTTTTGCGGGGGTGGGTATCATGTGTGCGGGTGTGTTTTTTTTCTAAGATATGGGGTTTTTGATGGAGAGATGGGATGGGATGGGTGAAGGACCGATTAGCTGCTTGTGCGGCTGGCTTGGGAGGGGTGCTTGGGGGTTGCAGGATCTGGGTGATGGTTCAGGAGCGAGATGGATAGGGGATTTTGACACGGGCTCTGTTGATCAGGGACTAGTAGGTGCAGGTTCTGACGTCTTGGCGGTTGGGACTATTGTCTGTCTGAGAGGAAGATATTGGGAATGGGTAGATGAGGTTGAATAGGAATAGTTGAGATTTTCTTGAGATTTTTCCTCTGGTTCTGGTTCTGCTTTTAATGCTTAGAAATGTACTGTTTGTTGTTTTCATTCCTGTCTGGTAGCTTCACACCGTTCTAATTTCTCATAGCAATGGTCAGACTTCATTACTTTCCACCATACTAATCATGGGAGCTAAATTTATGGCTATAGAGGTTTACTTGGAGATGTTTAGCGACGTGTAAACCACTTACATATGATTAATCTTCAATAATGCTTTTCACATACTGCAGAGTTCAGATATTACCGGCTTGGCGTAATATGATTCTCCTGTTTTTTATCATCATCAGTTAATCATCAGTTTAACCTAGGCTCCAGACCTTACAGTGCCTATGATCTAAGTGTGAATTGGAAGTTCTTACATTATGTATAGATTCGGAGCTTGCATTGAGCCTTTGCTAAGTTCTACACAAGAACTATAAAGGAGAGCTAAAAACCCTATGGCCTTTGAAAGAACAAGTTTATCTTCTTTCTTCCTTTCCAAGTGTCCTGTATAGAAAAGCCATCGAAGGATTTACATTATGACAATGTCAAGATCTTTTAGCATTCTATATATGCTAGCAGCAGCCAATTTGGCATCTCTAGTAAATGGTCATGGATATATGAACATCCCCTCTAGTCGAACAAGCATTGGCCATTCAGTAAGATCCCTTAACTCAATCTCTCTTCCCATATTAACAATCCAAGGTTGGCATCGACACATGTCCCGAATGTACTATTCTCGAGCCCGTCACCTCATGGCCTGATCTCGACGCCGCTCCCGTGGGACGCAGCGGTCCCTGCGGCTACAACGCTCGCGTGAGCGTCGACTACAATTACCCCTCCACAAACTGGGGCAACAGTCCCGTGACCACCTACACCGCCGGTCAAACGGTCGACGTACAATGGTGCGTGGACAACAACGGAGACCACGGCGGCATGTTCAGCTGGCGCATCTGTCAAGACCAATCCATCGTGAACAAATTCATCACTCCGGGCTACATCCCTACCGATGCCGAAAAACAAGCTGCGGAAAATTGTTTCGACGCCGGTTTACTCCCCTGTACCAATGTCACCGGCGCAACCTGCGACTACAACGCAGATTGCATACCCGGCCAAGCATGTTATCGCAACGACTGGTTTACCTGCAAGGGTTTCAATAGCGGGACGCGCTGTCAAGGTGTGGATGGCTCCGCGCTCGGGTCCTGCTACACGTCTATCGCGGGCGGATATACCGTGACCAAGAAAGTCAAGATACCCAACTACGCATCGAACCACACGCTCATTTCTCTGAAGTGGAATTCTTTCCAAACGGGCCAGATCTATTTGACCTGCGCCGATATCGCCATTGTTGGTTCCGGCAGTGGAGGCGGCGGCTCCCCGACAACCACGAGCAAAACATCTTCTACCTCCACCACCCTCAGCACATCCACCAAACCTACCACCAGCAGCAGCAGCGCCACAAGCAAAACCACAACCTGTGCCTCCATCCCCTCCCTAATCCCCATAACCTTCAACACCCTCACGACCACGAGCTACGGCCAAGCCATCAAACTCGCCAGCTCTGTCGGCGCCCTCGGGAACTGGGATGCATCTGGCGCCGTCACCCTCTCAGCCGCCAACTACACGAGTGCAAATCCGTTGTGGACGGGAACCGTGTTGTTGGCGCCCGGACAGGTGGTGCGGTACAAGTATGTGAATGTGGGGAGTGGCGGGACGGCGACGTGGGAGAGTGATCCGAATCGCGTGTTTACGGTGCCCGCGGGTTGTGCGACGAAGGGGTCTGTGGGGGATACGTGGAGATAGAGCGGAGGGGGAGAGAGGGAATGCTGGGTTGGGTTGGGTTGGGGGAGGGATCTCGTCACTAGTGATCTGTGGGCATGCAATGCAATGCGGATGTTGAGATATTGTTATCTCATTTGATTGTAAAAATTCTGGACTCGTTATATTTTAGTTGTGAGAATAAAACTCTGAATTCCTACAAAACACTAAAGAGTCAAGTCTTAACAGAAAGCAAACACGTGCAGATATATATCTTTCAATGACATTAGCTAGATACATAGGATCTCAAACTCTGAATATCTAGCATCGCTCTTATACAAACAATTAAACAGCACATCCTAAGTTCTGGGGCTTCTCAAAAATCCCACCACACCTCCACACCAACCTACCAAGTCTCCCAATCTCGCACCTTCATTCTCCTGTTGTGTCTTCCATTCCATGACTGCATTTCTCAGCTCCTCGCTACTAGCTACTTCCTCGTTGTGTAATTTTAAGAATACAGCCATCCATGCTTGTACCAATTCGTAATCTCTCTTTTGTGAAAGACGTGAAGTAAGTGCATGGATAAAGTGGATCAATTCGTTGGAAGTGGGTGAGAGGGAACGGATTTCAAGATCAGCGGCGGATGGAGAGAGAGTTTTGAGATGATCGATGAATGGTGTGTCTGTGACATGTTAGCATAATGATAGGTAAACGAGAGAGGAAAAGGGGGGTTTGAAACTTACAATCACCTGACTCGCCGCCAGATCGGAGAGTCACTGTAAAGGAGCGTTCCGAAGCAATGCGGTCGAGTTTCATGATGCGTGATCTTTCGGCGGCGCTATCTATCGATTTTTCTTCTTGAGTTGATGGACCTGCCGCGGAGTCGATTGATGGAAGGAAGAAAGGTGCCTTTTCTGGCAATTTTGGTGCTTCTGTGGGCTTGTTACGGGCTTTGATAAGATCTAGATGAATCAGAGTCTGCCATCTACTCTTTGGAACTACACTGAGAGTCATCATATCTTTGCTTAGTTGATCCAGCGACAAAGCAGGTGCGGCATCCTCAGTACTCTCATCCTCATCTTGGAATGCGCCATCAATGACATTATGGCCACCCTCACCGGAAGCAGTTGGTGCTGTGATAGAAGCAATTTCTTTCTCGGAAATATGTCGAGTAGGAACATGTGTGAAAAGAGTTTTGTTGTTCCAGAGATTGACCCCAACTTGTCCCGTGCATGTCGTGGCCAGGAATTCTCCTGTACCAGAAAAGGCGAGTGCAGTGCATTGAGTTTCCATTCGCATTGCATCAATTAAATGGCCAGTAGGAAGATCCCAAACTCGAACCACGCAGTCTTTCGAGGCTGCAATGACCCATCGTCCATCATTGGAAAAGCACATGTCATTGATACTCCCTTGGCACCCCCATAATTCTCTGATGGTTTTCTTGGTCTCGATGTCAACAATTCGAATAGACAAATCATCACACGAGACAGCAATGAGATCGTTCGGCGCATGGTATCTCATTCCTGTGATAGATACCATCGGGAACCAATCAATCTCATCAACAAGGTTACCAGTTCCAAATTCCCAGAATTTAATCTTACCATCGAGAGAGCAACTGATGATATTGCGGTTCAGTGAATCAACAAACACACCCGTTACCGCTTTTCTGTGTTTACCAAGTCCAGCTTGAAAGTTTTTTACCGTCTCGGAAGATATCTCCTTGCCAGTCTCGGCAGCCTGTAATTGCTGAATTTTCAACTTTCTTGCTTGGGCCGGTGTAAGTTTTGACGGGTATCGTTGTCGGTGAAGACCAGATTGAAGGTTAAACATATCAAGTCCACCAGTTTCTGATCCAACAACCGCGAAGGTGCCACATGGACTGATAGCAACGCTTCGAACATTTCCGCCATCACCAGTCTCAAATACCCATCGTCCCGCCTTCTTCCTTCCCCAAAACCACGTCCGGGCGAACTTGTCATCTTTGTGACCAGTGACCACGCTTTCCCATCCTGTGACCCCACTTGCTGTCGCGTCTGTACCCTTCTTTTGCAGATGGCCCTTCTGCCAAATCGCTCCGGTTCCAGGATGTGCGCCCATTCCACCGTCTCGATTTAATGACGATGCCAGACACACAATCTCGGGTGCCTTAAGATCCTCAAGGGTCGTACTAGGCTCATTTGCCAGTGTAGATTGGGCTAGGATACCCATTTTCTTCGCCTTCTTTCGTATGTTTCCTTGGCTCAATTCGGTACTTTGTCCATCCTTTCGAAGACTCCATCCCCACAAGCTTCGATCTTTACCAGCACTTAGCAACCATTTTCCACCTGCATCCGCACCATCTGCATCGGTAGGTAAAAATTGAAGGTGCGTGACTGGCGCAGCGTGCCCACTGCGCGAGTGCAAAATTCGGGGTATCGGGGAGTAGGGCGTTTCATCGAAGATCCAAGATTTCAAAGAGTTATCCAAGCCGCTGGTGACCAGGACAGGCTGCCCAGAGAGAAATTCGGCCTTGCTCAGGCCTCCACTGACTGTCGCGCCAGAGTCGGAAGGTGGATTATGGGCACCTCGAAGAACACCCATAACTCTGCCACCCCCATTAAGATCCCAGAATGTCACATCGCCATTGTCGGGTCCTGCAGTAGCCATTACACCGGGCTTCTTACCATCCTCCCCAGCTCCAAGATCATCTGTCCGGAAAGATATCGAAGTGATGGTGGACTCAGATCCGCCATTGAGATGGATGACCGTCTTATCTGCCCGCACATTATGAATTATTAGAGGACCTTCGGAGTATGCGATTGCCAGAAGAGACAATGCTGGTGTAGGTTGTAGAGCGGTTACAGCTCCACAGTTTGGACCTGGTGGTAAAAGGGTGTAAATCAGTTTTCCGGAGCTGACATTCCATATCTCAACTCCACCGTCTCTTCTTCCGGCGAATATTTTATTCAGATACGTTGGCATATTACAGATCCCCCCGGTAATCTCGTTTCCACCTTTCTGCGCCGCGGTAGTGTGCAAAGTCGTATAATGTTCGTATGTCGAGGTTTTCCAGACTTCTATCCTGGTTGAGCAGCATCCTACTATCCATGTGCCAAAGACCAAAATCTGCTTGATTGGCTCCTTTAGATCTGCGGGGAGTGGTATTTCCTCAATCCTCTTTCCTCTCTTGAATACGCAGAGACCCTGGTTACCATCTTCGTCCTGACCTCCCCATGCTGCGAAGACTTTATCTTTCCATGCTAATGTGGCGGTTATATCTGCTGGTGTTCGTGGTCTGGTGAGAAAGACTAGGCTGAGTCCTCTTTTGAGGTCGTACGTTTGTAGACATCTTCCTACAGAGGTTGTGATTTGAAATGTGGTTTTGCCGAGTGGGATCGAAGTGAAGGGGACGGCAGTCGAAGATACTAAACCAATTGTCTTATTATAGAAGTCAGCAATATGGTCAATTGGGAGAAATGAGAGGACAAACACGAAATGGAGTAAAGATTCTCGATTCCCTCAAAGTTTTCTTGGGCGCATCAGCAACGTCCAATTTCTGTCTTTTTACAATTGGACCATCTTGAACATTAGTAGCAAGCGATGAAGGCATCTTAGAAAGTCGCAACAGTATTTCCAATATCAAATGCGCTTGCTTGTTGTTTGCGCCGCTGTTCTTGACGTTAACCAATATGATCAAAAAAATCAATATTTCTGTAGTATGGTGGACTTTTTTTTTTTCTTTCACCATGTAATCAATTAATCCCTGTACCTATCTGTACTAGACTCATGTTACTGGTACATAGACATGAGTGAGGCGTGGGGAAGAGCCGGGCCCCAGCTATCTATCGGTCCATCACTAGAAACAGCCTTATCGTAGAGGTAAGACAGCGATAATTACCTAGGTATGGATTGTTATTACTGTCAGCCACTGGCTTACTTCGGAGTAGGTACCTTTCTACATCTGTACTCACTCCCTCCTTCACTCAGAACATAACATAATATAACATAACATGACATAACACCCACCCACCGGTGACCCATACCTACATCAGTTCCCCAATATATGAGTGAATATTATCTTCTCCTTACAGTACCTAGGTACCTCCAGCTACCTTTCTACCTTCCTACCTACCTTCCTACCTAGGTAGATATCTAACTCTCGTCTCACACATCTTTGTCGATGCTGTCTAATCGATGCCATCTCATTCGTCGTCTTATCCTTTGAATTTCCTTTTTCCCCCTTCTTGCCGCATTAATCGTCATCTGCCACGATAAGATTGTGTAACCTGGAAATATGAGAATATGTCTTTCTCTCCCTACCATTCACTTATTAACCTGCCAGCAGTCAATATTGGTAGATCTACAGTAGTATACCTAGGTCATGATTTGTTTGCTTTCTCATGTCAAAGTCCTGGTTTCAATTTCGCATTCACACGTCCTTCAAGAGCTTGACAGTAGTTTCCAAACTGCATACCTAACCCAACATATGCATATCTCAGATACCCGTGGACCTGCTGATAACACTTGCCCACAATCATGGCACAAGAAGGTGAGAGCGCAATGATGGAAACTAATGATCCTAGTACCGATAAACAGGCGGTCGGATTTTCAACATTCAACAAATCCAATTCTGCAAGCCAAGAAGCACAATCAACAAAGAATTTGAGTCCCAAACCTAAAGTGAGAAGGACTTCGCTCAGCTTATCGTCCGGCAGTGGCATTCTTGCGTCATTGAGCAGGAAAGGGAGGCACGCAGAACCATTGATACACACAGAACTCAATTCCGAACGAGCAAGTATTTCTATGCCACCATCTACAAGAACATTATCAAAGTCTAGAACATCTTCTACATACAGCCAAAGATCGCCGGCTGCATTGGCCGTTTTGGAAGAAAGCTTAAACTTAGAAGGCACAGGAACTAGTCATCAAGATTTTGCTGTTGAGGAATCTGAGCCCCTAAAGACGAATTTACCAATGGCAGAGGACAAAAACCCCCAAACAAATTTAACAATGGCAGATGATAACAAGAGTGTGCCTATACCGCTTCCTGAACCTACTCTTCG